GTCCATGTCCCTGTTATTTGAACCTGTTCTTCAGCAAACAATAGAGTCGAATAGCGAGTGGTACAGGATCGTAGTCCAAGTAGTTCTCCATACGCTGGGGATTAGAGTGCAAAATGTTCCGGCTCATCATTGAAAACCATTTCGGTTTCAGTCGGTCACATATAATTACCCCGTAAAGCGCCAGTGTTGTGCAACGCCCCATGGCATTTTGATGCAAGGGGTCGTAAATAATTGCTTCTCAGGAGCTTAATTTGTGGCCAATCGCTTCCTTTAGATGTTTCTTCAGGGTGGCCGACCATGCAGTGAAACGCTGCCTGAATACAAAAGAAGATAGCATGGCCGCCTACATCAGATCCAAACCCTTCCTTTGTTAGATCTTTTTTGGCAACCCCCTTTGTCACATTGGGATCGTTCCGACCAGACATGAGGACCTATATACTGACACCACCGGTTGAGGCCAAAGTTCCCATCTGGAAGAAAGAGATCTACGCAGATGGCGAGACTTGGAAGGCCCCTCCCACCGGCGCGTAATGAACGTGTATGATATATAGGTGTGGAACATCCTGCCTGCAGGTTGCTTAGGCAAGTGGCTTACACCCGGCCCACTTCTTCTTGCTTGGGACCTAGGCATGCGTTTGTTTCAATGGTGACCTGTTGTGCCTCCAGGTCTGAGTCCAGACCGGAGGATCTTTTTGGACCACCCTTAAATGGCTATGGTTCAAAACCGGAGGACCTTGGTTGACCAGTTCGATCATGAACAGAATGGACGACCTGACTAGTCGGTCAACCTACCCTGGTGAAAGGGGATCCAGGTGCTATGACCCCATAGCCAAATGAACAGAAGAAGACTAGCAGGCATGTCAACAGTCCATGGGGTAGGTTGCGGGAGGTATCAACCCACTTTGCCAATTGGTTCCCTGCATCTCGATGCAGGTTTTGACTCACTTGACTCCGAGTCGTGAAGCTGGTTGTGAGGATAGCCAAGTGTCCAAGCGGAGAGTTGCTTCAGCTCCTTTGAAAAGAGATCTCCTATAGAAACAATGTCCATTGAATAGGGGAGAGGGATCAAACAAAAAAAACAAATTGGGGATCAAGAAAAAACACTTTCAGAAACAATACTTGGCAGAGACGACTACTACTACTACTACTACTACTACTACTACTACTACTACTACTACTACTACCTGCCCGCCTGCCTGCCTGCCTGCCTGCCTGCCTGCCTCCCTACCTACCTACCTACCTACCTGGCCTACCTACCTACTTACCTACCTACCTGCTACCTGCTACTTTCTCTGTATTTTTAGATCCTTGTTTGTTTTTTTTTTTGATCATCGTTTGTCCCTTGCTTCTACTGTAACATCGCCAGTTTTTGTTTTGTTGATGATCCCTGTTTATTTTTCTTTAGATCTTTTGGGTTTATTTGTTGATCCTTGTTTGCTTTTCTTTTGATCCTCCACCCCTTGATTTGTGAGCCGCCAATATTGATTAAATTCGTCTTCTGGAGCCCCATCACTTCCTCCCGTCTGCTGTTTTCCGAAGTCGGCGTCGTGCTCTGACCCCCCACTGTTCCCCTCGGCGGCTGCCCGGGCCAGGCCAACAAGGAATGGGATCCCACTCACAGCTGACCCAGCGGACCAGTCGCTGATGAGTCGCTGCGCTTTTCATGGCTGAAGCGTAGCGCCAAGTCGCCGGACCAGCCACGAGCATTCCTTCAGTCCCGAATCCAGAAGAATCAACTGCCCTAAGCTTAAGTGGGCATGTAGAATCCGAATAATCACCTTACATTCGGGGGGTGCTCACCCGTTTTTTCCGCCGTGTTGAAGATAGGAACCAGGTAGTATTTTGGGTCGGTATATCCCATTGCCAGGACCCAGTAGACCATGATGGGGCCTGGTTGCAGGCCCTTCACCAAAAAATAGTCATAATTCATCATCTTTGACCGACTGTTACTGGTACTGGGTGTTTCTATATGGAGAACCCCAACCAAAGGGAATTGGATCCGTTTTCCTTCTTCCAGAGGGGTCTTTGAGAGGTCTACCTGTTTTTGATAGATATATATATCAAAAACAGGGAGACCTCTCAAAGACCCCTCTCTCTCTCTATATATGTATACTATATATACCCACATCATACCATTTATAGCTGATTCTGTGTGGTTAAATCATCTCGCCCGCGGCCCCAGGAGCTGATTTGGTACTAAGGGGTTTGCCAATTAGTTATATGAAATCCAGACTCAAGCAGTTCGGGGCAAAAGCAGGTCATAGCAGGTCGAGCAAAAAAAGAAAAAAGAGCTCCCTGCCACAGCGTGATCACGACGATGGGACCCGTGATCCGATGAAAATCTCCGCTTCCAAGCGGGTTCTTGGAACACATGGAGAAACTGGGTGATCCTAAAAATGGATGGGGACGCTCCCTCCAGATCCAGCCTGCCATTTTAGGGCATCATCGACCCTCAGATTTCAGCCAAGCAACAAAGCAGAATTGGGTCTTGGAAGTCACTCGGAGTCACGGTGATGCACAGCAGATCTTGGCCATATATCTAGAAGGTCTGCTAGCAATATCCAGACCACCACCGGTTTGCATGGAGGGGACATGTATACAAGCAATCCCGCTTGAAATCCCGGACTCCATTTCCAGTGACAATGCTTCCATATGTGTAAAACGCGCCTCGGAAGTTTGCTGAGCTCAGTGGAAGAAACTGAAAGATGGGGACGGAGGGAATGCTGGCTGGCTTTGAGCCATGGCCATTCATTGGCCAGCGGTTCATTCGCGCGCTGGAATGATTGCCGCACTACCTAGCGCAGGTAGCATCAACAAAAAGACAAATACATGGCAAATGTGGTGTGTGTTGTTTTGTTGGTCGATTTGCGAGTTTGGGCAAGTGTGTGCCCAACTGGTATCTTTATATAGATATTCCTAATTACATGTGTGTGTGTGTTTTCCTGGTGTCCTACATGAGTGGTTGAGTACTGGTCGTTGTACTTTAAGGAGTGCCTTCTTGAGTCGATCAGATGAGGTTTTTCGTCGGGGCGCCCATGGAGGTCGAGGTCTCATCAGCCGAGGTCGGAGCCGGTGGCCACCCCGTTGAGCACCCGACCTCCGGAAGAACACCAAAGTCCAAACGGTGCGCCCTGCCAGTCCTGCCCAACCCCCCTTTTGCAACAACCGACAGCCCTCAAAATCATCTCTTGATATCTTGTGTGTTTTTGCACTCGCCATTTCAACATGCAACCGGAACAGCATGGACATTCCCACATACTCTTCCAACCACCGGCGGGGGCGATCTTGGCCCCGTAAGATCTTGGTTTCAGTGTCAAGGTGCTGTGGACCCACGACAGGCCTGGTGAGTGCAAGCACCGAACCTCAGAGGGTACGACTGGACCCTCCAAAGCTACGTAACAGTGTCGAACACATCACCTTCGAAGGTACTTGGATCCCTGGATTACCAACATTATAAAACAGCTCCATAAATCTCCATTTTCTCAGTTTATGCTGATGGCAACCCTTCATCACGCCTCACGCCGCTTGTGGCTCAATTCAAGCCGCAACTACCAGGCGCTTGATGCAACATGATGCTGATGGGCATGCCATGCTGGAATTCCGCAGCACGTCACTGTCACAGTCCGCAGCAAAAGCCAGACAGCTCACAAGATTTAGACGTCACTCTTACGGTATCAGGTCACTCTCCGAGTCACTGCCCAAGCTACCAGACTTTCCACAGGCGACGTTGAATCGAGTTCTCTCTCGGTGGTCCAAAGCGAACCTGAAAACCCGACCCCCGGGACAACCGCACGTCGTCCGTGGAAGTGAAGGTGAGGGACGCCCGCTGGGGACGGCGCTGATGTGTGCTTCGTTGGAAGTGGAGCCAAGCAACCTCTGAATGCGTTGTTGGCACCGGTCCAAGCAAAACCATTTGGGTGTGAACAACATCACACATATATAGATAATGATAATATTGTGATAACAGGTAATATATTTATATAAGTATGATCCTTAGGACTTTAGGATGACTTTGGTGGGAAGTCTGTACACAACGGACCCCAAAGAGGGAATGCACTCAGGACACCCCCCAAAGTGGGGAACAACACCAATGCAACTGTTGCTTTGGCAGATGGTGGACCTCCAATACTCGCCACCTTTTTTGGCATAAATTAATCATTCCCTGCCGTTTTTCTTCCGCGAGGTTTCTTGGGATATTCAATCGTTCCAAGCCAGATGTTACTTTGGATCGACATCGCTCCAAAATCATGTCTAACATGGGATGTTCCTCTAACATGGGTTGTTCTTTTTCCTGGTTTGGACTCAGACAGTGGAGACGTGCGGCCGTTGGGGCCGCCGTTGCCGCGTCCAGCCGTTTCCAAACGCCCCGGTGGCTGTTTGCATGGCCCTTTGGGTGACGACATGGACGGGTGAACATGACTGTGAACAGGTCATATCTACACTCCCTGGAACTCACATGGTTACGTGGATGCCATGGCCCCGAGTTCGGAAGACCATGTTTTTCCACTAACCCAACAGGTGGTTTTCCACTCCACGTAACCATGTTAGTTCCAGGGAATGTATATATATATGTCATATATGGCACCCGATCCCATGTTCCCAGGTGGTCTTCCACTGTATATGGCACCCGATCCCTGGCATCACTTGGATGCCCATCGCTACAGTGCTGGAAGAACTTGCTGTGGAATTGGGTGAGCATCTATGACTACAGTGGCTTTTGGTCGGTTTCATTAGAGGGTTTTTTGCATGGGTTTGGTGTCCAGCAGAAATGCGAGAAATGCGTGTAAGTCCTGTAAGTGTATAGTTTGTTCCGGTTCTTCAGCAATCAGTCCCGCATTCGGTACTTTCATAATTTCAATAATAAAAACCAGAAAACCCTTAGGCTATCTTTGCATTCAATCTGAGATGATGAGTTCTACCCTCCCTCTCAGCTCAAATTCTCGAAGAAACCGGCGAAGAGTTCGGAGTTTTTCATGCGAACCGTGGGCAGAAAGCAGGAGATGATCCGGCAGAACGAGAACATCAGCCCCAAGGCAGAACGATCTCGTGGCCCAGGGCAGAACGAGCAGAGGAGCAGGAGCCGTGCCAGATGGCACAGCCGTCTCCGTTGCACCCCTGGGAAATAGGGAAAAGATGTGCGACTGCCGAGTCTGTGTGGCAAGAAAAGGATAGCACCAACATGAGTGATGAGGTCAAAACCAGGCTAGCTTGATTGACCACTGAAAAGGAACCGAATAGACCACTAGACTCACTAGACATGGTCAACCTAGCAAGGCTTTGGGGTCTCCAAATGGTCCCCAATCTTGTTCCTCCGCCAAGAGTTCCCAGTCGCGGTTTCCTTACCTGGACCATCCCCGGCTCCGCCCGAGTCGAAGCCCTGTCACTCCGCATGTTCATCGACCGTCCTAGAGGGTCCAGGTACATCCTGCATGACAAAACCACCGATACCTTGGGGGCCCCACTTGTGCCATCTACTCATGAAACTGCTGTATTCCATCCCTAGCGATCGACATCACTACCCTACATGGACGACTGGACCCTCCGAACTTCAAAAAAGGTGTCTCCAATCACCGTAGCTCGGAATTCTGTGGACCCGGTCATACTTGATATGATTTGAATGGTCAAGTCGTTTCGCATGGTCACTTACGTGGTCTTTCTCCAATCGCAGTACCTCAGGACTGGACCCAGTGATTTCTGACTGGTCACATCTTCGGTTCGCTTTTGGTCACTTGGTCTTCTCCCCGTCTTCGCTTCGTCGACGCTTTGATGACCACGCGGGAGGTCTTCAACTTGCTCGCCCGCCAACTCACGGCTCCTCGCAGACTCCGCTGACCGAACGGTGGTGTTTGCCACCTCTCGGAACCGGGAAAAAGGTTTGCTCTTTCGGGTGTACACATTAACCTCTTCCGGATGCATACCACACATGTTGCGTTCGGACACCAGTTGCTGTCAGGTGGTGATATTCCGAAGGCGTGAACAAGTGAACAGGCATGCTTTATATGTTCCATACTAAAACCAGTATATACCAGCTGCTTCCAAGGGGTTACCAATGGACCACCCTACACTGCTTATAGGTCACCATTGGGCACCCATTGGAAGTGCTAGGTATATTGTATGATTTGCATTTGATGTCCTTTGGAAGCACCCACCTTGAAGGACGTCGTGAGCCGCCGAGGCTCTGCAGCAAGAGAAGTTGGAAGGCGTTCACTTTGTTCCCAACCACGAGGAGTGCCCTCCAAGCTCAGGCTCCTTCCTTCATGCACGAGCCACTCATTCGATCATTCGATCACAGCCAGTTACGACCCATTTGGAGCACCAAAAAGGGGATTTGGTTGATGGCGTTGTTGATTGAAGACTCATTACACCTTGTTATAGTAGCTTCTTGCTAGTAGCGATGCCCTTGATAGTGTTGTTCATTGTTCCTATATGTGGGTTAGATGTGTTTTAGGGCATCGTCAATTTGAGACCAAACATGGCAGGGTTTGGTCGGACATTCTTTTGCCATGTGTGCTTTGCCGACGTGTTTCTAAAAGGAACACCCAGTCTTTAAACTGCTGTGATTGAAACCCACTCTACACATCTTGACACTGGAATCCAGGGTGTGCGAAGATATAAAGTCAAGCTTTCCGGCTTGTGTCTATGAGTCAAAACACGCGACTACCCCCCACAACTTGACCCTTGGCTGCATCCTGTTTGTTTATGGGGAATCACGGTAATCAACCGGGATGCTTTTGACAGCCTTCTCGAGCTTCGGGGCCTCGGCTGCCAGGACCCTTTGGATGTGCAGGCCATTGTCGAAGGGCCGACCCAGACACCGTGACCCCGCTCACCGCAGCGACGCGGAAGACGACGCAGAAGACGGTGCTGCGGAGATGGTGTGGCGTGGAGCTGCAGTCTACTGCGTAGTGGATATGTTTGTTTTCCGAAAACGCTATTATTCTTTCCGTTTCTGTATTGGTTTCAGGTTTGTCCCTGGTGTTCTTTGTATTGGTTCGATGTGTTTTTGGAGATCCGGAGGAGATGATTCTTCCAGTGGAATCTAGGAGATAGTGGCTGGGAGTCTGCTGCCAAATCCTGCAAGTCCCGGCCTGATGTGTGAAGGTGTATTTATTTTGTCAGGGTTGAGTGAAGCAAGATCCAAATTTTGCTTATGTCACGCCGGTTGTAGAAGCAGTAACTCTTCCTGGAATTGCCCAAACGGTGTATAGATGTCACCGTCAAAGAATCAAACCATCTCAACATCAGGGTGGTGCAACCAACCTCTTTCGGCACAAAATGGATCGCGACATGTTTGTTGGTTCTTTTTCTTTTAGATCACCAACTTGGCACCAGGCCAGCCTCTCCCACACAAAGCCGTGCTTTGTCCAACACCACGCGAACGCGGCGCGATGGGATCGCCTGCCTGCCCATCAGGTACGAGGGTGGCTCCTATCGCGTGAAGATCGTCATCGGCGCGGAGTTTCCGGTGCAGCCCCCCCGCGCGGCCCGGGTGGCCCAGGAGGGGAGCAGATGTGGAGCGGTTTGCGGAACGGCGGTTTGAGCGGAGTGATGGGGATGTGTTGTTTTTATTTCAATTAGAACGCCACAGGATGCCCAAGGTTGTAGTTTGAGAATTTTTGAGAGGGAGATTGTTGGGGGAATGATCTAGAATTGTTATGAATAGTTGCATCGTTGGTTCAAATGTTTTTCCATTCCCAACATTTCCCAACCATATAGTTAATAATATAATAATATAATATATATATATATACATTAGAACCAGGTGTATGTGAGCGACTGCAGCCTTGCAGCTGTGCACAACATAGAATGCGTGTCATCCAAGAAATACCTTGACGAGGCGACGAGAGAGGAGATCTGATGCTGCATGTGTAGAATACCTTGCTGTAAAGCGCTGATGGAGGCGCTCGCGGACCAGGCATCTCCAGATGTCTCCTGGCGAATTACCCCTTTTTTGGAGAAGATGCGTGGACTAGTTTTTGACGAGCATGCCACAGCCCAGAGAGGGCAAGCTCATACAAGGGGATTGGCAACTTGCAATCAGGGCCATTTTGGTCCAAAGTTAATACACAACAATTGGTTTCAACATCGCCCACTTTTTTCTTGGATCCCATCTCAGCCTGCTTTTCTTTGCCACCGGACTAGTAAACCGGCCTGGAAATGGCTTGATCACACCTGTTCAAACCTGGTGCCGCATCGAGTGGGGAAAGAAACATCGAGCGAAACAAAAATAACATCGACTGCAAATCGCGAGCGAAGATCACCTAGGTCTTCTTGACGAAGATCTTCCATCCCAACATCTCACTGAACGGTGATGTGTGCGTGAACACGCTCAAAAGGCCGAGACGAGGGACCGGGGCGCGCGGTTTCAGAAAGCGCCGGCCGTGAGACGAGCCAGACGAGCCCGTTGGGAGCCTTGGACCCTTGGAGCATGCAAGACTGGCCGAAAAATCGGGTCAAGATCGAAGGATCCTGAAATAGATCAACCGGCAGGACTTGGAGAGGGGAGATACCTGGGTGTGGTCACGTGCCGGCCTGAGTTAGGGATCGGGTTTCTTAGCCTTGAAACACTTAGTCAGCAGTTCAGCCGTCAATTGGGGCACTTGGAGAAACTATAAGTGGTGTTTCTAGTTGTGGTTTCGAGTCACTGTGGAATGGTGTAGGTCCGTTTTCTCTTTTGAGAATAGATGTTGTGTAAAGGAGGACATCCTGCAGATCTTGGCCATACAGGCTCCATTTGTATAGGTTCAGCTTTCGTGTTCATGTCTATTACCACCAGAAGTCCTTTCGCGCCACAAATTTGGAAACAGACAGATTTCAGGGTCGACTGCGTTGTGACTGTATCCCGGTAAGCCAGTATAGACTGGCCGTCAACCTAACCATGTCACTGGGCCCTGGCAATGGGTTGAATTATATGATATACCCGACTTGGAACTTGTTCCTGGTGCTGCTAGACTAGGTCCAATACAGTATAATACTATAAGACTATATTGTATGGATTTCTGAGCTGCTGGGGATGTGTTTCAATTCGACCAGCAGAGAAGTCATGGTTCACTCTTGCCATTGTTTCTTGGTGAACTCGAATCCGGGATGAACATCTCCCATTTGTCGAGATTTTGGGAAATATTTGCTCAAAGTCCCAAGTTCGCTCAGCAGGTTTTTGGTGGATTGAGTTTCTTCATTTGAGCGCGTGTCGCTCAGCATTTGCCCAACCTGACACCAGTGACTAGTGACTGAGGTCACCCTGGGCCTTAGGGACTCCAACAGGTCACTTGACTCAAGAAGCTGGATATCTACCATCCTACGGCTGCTAGTGATCTCAGCACGGGATATATAACTACCCGACCACGTATCCCCAAACCATTATGATATCATGTTCAAAGATTCTACAGCTGCACCAATCTGGTCAGTACATGAACCGGTAGAATCGAAACAGAGTGCTCTTTCTTCTTCAATCCACTTCGTTTGGTGGACCATTGAAACAACGCCGCCCCCAAAAAAAGATCCGTAAAACATGCAGTTCCGGTTCTCCCACCACCTCGCGATCTGGAATTCATGAAAATCCGGCGGTGCGGCGCACCCATCTCCTTGGCCAGGGACTGGGATCCTCAAAACTGGTCTTTGGCACATGTTCTTCAGGCGCGGAGCGCGCGAAAACGCACGCGCTCGGCCCGTGCCGCTTCCTCGGGTGGTGTACACACACACGGCAACCCGTGTAGGCACAAGGAGAGTGAGCTGCGTTCGTTTGGTCATTGATGTGTCGATTTGGGGAAAGGACTCGTCACGTAAATGACACAAGTTGTTGTTATCTTTCCTGTTCTAAGCATATATACATGTTTCTTCTCAGTTATTTTGCTGCCTCCGTGGTGTTTGGGTCTTGAGGCAGCCTGTTTCTCCATCGTCCACCTTCAGGAGGGATCATCGTCCACCAACCAACCAGCAGAATTGAGGCAGAAATGTCCTTCCCGAGACGGGTCAGAAAGAGAATCAAGTTTGGCATGTTTGGCTACGCTCGTCCCGGGTTCCAAGTCTTGGTCCTATTTGTTTTTTTTCAAGTCAAGAAGGACACAGTGACTGGCATGTGACTGCCATCTGGCAGGGAAAATACTTGAGAAAATAGAGGTTTCAACCATTTTCAACCCATAAGAACCTGGTCCAAAACCCATGTTCCGGGGCAACGAAGGTCCGAAGGTCTGCTCAGCGCACCCGCAGCAATCGCCAGAGCTTTTAGCGCTTTCAGCGTTGACCAGAGGTTCTCACTTTCAGCGCACCTGAGTCTGAGTATGTCTGAGTATAAGATATCCATAAGCGCACCCATAGACGGCCCTGAAAAACATTGGTTGTTTGATATATAGAGGGGACTACCTCGAGTGTACAACTTATATATATATATATAGGTATATGGTGCCAACCAAACGGACCCCTCTATTATTCCCCCGAAGACATCATTGCAACCACCTGAGTCTTGTCCAACAACCAGCTGAGTCCATGTTTTGAAGTTGCTGCACAGGTGATCCGCTGTTTGCTCATCGTGCCCTTTCCAGAGTCAGCACTCAATGAAGAGGTGCGGGGTGATGAGCGCATATATGCGTGACAACTCACAAAACAAATGTTTGGGGCTGCAAACACGGGTCAAGTGTGCATCGTGTGACACTGCAAATGTCTATTTGGCAGGTTGCCTTTCGCAATCATTTGGCAATTGCATCATGGGGGTTGGCTCAAGAACTACTATCGTCAGGCGTCAGGAGTGTTCTATCACGGATTGTCACGGATTGTCCATGTTCAGCGGAGTTCAGGACGTTGTTCTCGTTTGAATAGATGCAATGTCCTTGAGAGGACAAAACACATAATTACTATATAATATATTCTGCGGAAAGCAGGGTCAAAACCCTCCAGTTCGGAGCACAATGCTGCTTGCAAGGATTTTAGTGTTCCCGTTCCCGAGGATGATTCCTTCTGAGAAGGCACTTAGGTCCGGCTTGGGAGGCAACCTTTAGTACTTGAAGGTTGAGAATGGGTCAGAGAACAATATCTCACTATCATTTCAAGCGTGGTGTAACGATCCAGGACGATCCACAATACAACTCGTCCAAAAAGCTCCCCGCGATTCGGCTTGTTCGTTTCGCACGTTCGATGGTTTGAGAATGCCATCACCTCGATTTCACCTTTCTTGGACGTTGGAGTCTCCTCATTTCGCATCTCTCACGTTCCATGGATTTCGCCGGTGGAATTCGTCGGATTTCGGGCTGGCCGTCAATGTGCATTGTGCGCCATGTGCAATTCAATGGAACCTGCAGGTTTTCGGGGTAGCATCCATCTTGATCATTTGTTTGGCTTTTGCTACATGGATCTACATGGTAGGTGCTCAAGGCCTCCAAAAAAGCTTCGTGCAGTAAGCCGTCATGTCAGGCGCCCCTTCGTGCATTGCTTGCCCCGTTCGGTGGTAGCTCTCTTAGTTCGGATTCGGAAGTGCCTACCAGCAGTCACAAAGGGATGGTTTTTAGTCCCTAAGTGAGTGGATAATGGGCACCCCTACCCTCCAATAGGCACCCCTTTGTGACTGGTACTGAGATCAGGCTAGTGTTTGGACTATGACTACCCGGACCCCCACCCGCTATAGCTCACCTCGCCCTCGTTCCTCTCCGCGAAGCCCTTCTTCCCGTTCCGGCCCGTTCCGGGCCGTCCTGTTGGAGCAGTGGTCCTGTCCGCTGTGTCCGTCCTGTCAGACCCAAAGACTCCTCCACTCGGACGACAGCGAAGGTCCATCAAGAAGCAAGCAGGGAAGCCTTACTGGAACACCACCACATCCTTTCAAGTCACTTTGGGGTCCTTGCGAGGGGAAAGAAGTGGGAATGAAATGACCGTATTCCTACCCAGGACGAGTGGATAACCTTGATGGTTTGCGGGGGATTGGGGGACGCCCCCCTACGAAATGAACAGGTCGATAACATCGGCCTTGTTTTCCAGGGAAACTGAAGAAGTGAGTATTTTTTTGCGCTCACTCTTCTACGCATCCTTGTGCTCTTGATGAAGACCATGTTTTGGTGCAAAATAAGCGGACAAGCTGGGTTGAGCCCCACATTTCTCGGCACCTAGTTGGCGCAAAAAGTTTAGATGGGGACTGCACTGACCACCGGCGAGCACATTTCCTACACATCAGCACATCCCCTTCAATGCACAAAGCATGCTGTTCTGGTCGTTCATGCGAAAGCCGACTCAAGTCTGCAACGACTTGCTCAGCCAATTTCCGGTATCATGGCCCTTGACGGCTGGTTCCTCAGGTGGCTGGCATAGCTTACGGCTCACCCCTGGACAAGGCGCAAGGACAATCGGAGTCACCTCCTTCCACGACTGACGGAATTTCACAGACTGTTGGCAGTTAGCACATTTAACGGTCCATTTTGTCGCATGCCATCTATGGCCAGTCCACAAGAAATCAGGATCACAAGGCAACGCTGACAAAAAATTAACCATAGTGCGCCCTCCAGGCCCTTTCCCAACCCCAACTTCCCAGCGCTTCCTTTTAGGAAGGTGGGGAGCCATATCAAGTTTGAGGGGTTTCATGGGATGGCCTCCAGGGTGTGCGCCTAACATAGCAGCCACACGGACACATACGAACTCAAAAACTTTTTTAGCAAAAGCATCGCATTTTGCAAGCGCCTCACATCGAGTTGGGTCATACAAACCCTCTACCTGTGCATGGGCCTCAGCCTGCACCTGTGATAGCAACCGGGGGTAGGATTGAGTCTGGGGCATCTGCAAAAGGTCTTTAGATTTATCCTTAAAACAAGGAACGAAGTGAGTGTTGGCCACACACACTTGATTGTGGGCCTGACACTATATATTTCCCATGGATTGAAACGACACCGTCCTCCTCTCAGACTGAAAGATCATTTGGTCCATTGGAGTGGCGTGCGTATTCTTGACTTTGTGCAAAACCCAGGAAAACCCATGCTTGCAGCAATCTACGGATCTGGGACTGATGGAGTGTGAGGAGGCATCGAAAAACTTAGGTCATGAGGTTTTGGCATGCGTGGCATGCGGCATGAGGGCAGTGTCTCTCATTTCTTTTTCCGGGCGTGGTCTGACTTCAGGCCTCCGTGGACGTGCAAGCTAGGAGGGTGCGTGTGCGTGCACTTATAGTCTTCTCAAGTCTCTCTCGTCCATATCGGGCCTCACCCGGCTACTCCCACGTCATAGAGCAAACTGCTCAGCAAAGCCAAGCTCTTGGCAGAAATCAGACGCAGCTTCTCGGCAGGCACATGTTGGTGCTCCAAGTTAGTTTTCCTCGACAACTTTTTTAACTTAATTAACTAATGGGTGGGTGAGGGCTCGGGCAGCTTAAATGCTTGAGCTACTCCAGCTCCACATCGCCCCACGCGAGGCGGGCCGTTTGTTCATGGAGAGCTACAACGAGTGCGCCTGTGTGTTCGTGGAACGTGAATTTGACGAATCGGCGACCGAATCCACGGTTGAGTGGTTGTTCCAACTCAAGTGCACTGCTCTATAGGGTTCCTAGCGCCTCCAAGCGAAGCCAGTTGGACCCTACAAACTCACCCCCAGTTCCACCTTCTCAAAAGCTAATGTACGTGGAATCGTGGAACCCTAGGGTTGTTGATGTTTAGCTGGACGACGTTCTGTGACCATGCGGACTCCAAGCTTGTGTTGCATGGCACAGCTGTGTTCAGGAAACACTACGATGTATGTGTGGTTTTGCGGACATACTGTTTCCAGGTCTTGATCATGCATCCGCACGTTTTTTTGCAGCAACTCGCAGACCTGTTTTTGTGTGTTCGTTGGCTGCATCATCTTGGAAGTGCCAAGCTCCGGTTGGAAGTGCCAAACTCCACAACCGCAGACTCTACGCTATACGCTCTAAGAACCCAAGTTCCCGCTGCCATCCGCATCTATCCGCTGCTGAATACAGAGTCAGAACCCTGTAAAAAGCAGGGGGACTTCGGATTCCTTCCTTTTGAAGCGTCCCTGAGGTCCTTACACCGAGAGAAGGATGATGAGTTGACGTTCCCACCAGCGTCCACCTGTTTGCCGTTGTAGTCATTGCAATGTTAAAGGAGTCTCCATTTATTCCGGAGCGCCCCAATACGCTCCTGAGAAAGTTTAGATTATGGGCCACAGAGAGATTTCCGGTTACCAAGCAAGTAGACTTTGGTTGGCAGTATATGATATGTGGCCGTTCCGGCCACCCTGCAGGATATAAATTCTGCAATACTTCAAAACACATGGTTGGGGAGCAAGAGTTTAGGGGCAGGTCAGCGACTTTCGTGACAAACATGTTGCCTTTGTTTTGCCCTTTCATTCCATTAAACCCAGTTTCACGTATGGAAGTCGCGGTGACTGATGGAGTTGAACCCTGGGTCGATGAAGAATGTCCTTGGAGGCCTTCGACAATGGTGTGGTGTCATTCCACTGGCACAAGGGGAAACGTATCATTTCACCAGTATGTTCATGTCTTGGATTTTCACCTACGGCTCCCTACGGTACTTCGCTGGTGAGGCGTTGAGCGTGGGACTTGGCTTGTCAAGTGGTGGCTCTTAACATCGTTGTTTTCATCGGACCGGATTCGATGTTCAAGGTTCCAACCTTGTGTGACTTGTTTTTGTGATGTTGCAGGAAGAAGGTTCACAGAAGACTTGGCTCCAGCCATGTTGAAAGCAAGTTCGCCGGTCACCATCTTTTTGATCTCCCTAGCTTTGGCTTTTCCATGTGCTATATGTGGCCATCCGAATGGTGTTCCGGATGGCCGCGTGTGACTGAGCAACGCTCGGTACTCACTAAGCAATATTCAAAATGACCACAAAGCATCAACCGAATGCCTTTTCTCAGTAGGGGTCCATGTTCATCTGGAGCAGAACGCATACAAGTAGAAGGCTTCTTGTTTCAACAGCGGGTCAGACGTGAAGATAGATTCCGAGCATCGGGCACAACGACGGATGTCACACCACATCGGGAGGAGATGACGTCGCTTGGCCGAAGCGAGCCGACCGGCGCTTCATGTTCTTACATAGACCGGGCTGACCCGCGGCTTTGACATGCTGATGCTATGACCATATACTGACCGGGGAAGAAGACCATATTCCGTAGCATCATCCTCCCTATAGACCGAGACATTGGAGAAGTGCCATTTTTCCGGCATTTCTAGTGGATTGAGGGCCGTTTCAGTCGCTTGTAGTTGCACAAAGGACCTTGCCGAGCAATTGTGCGAATGTAAGAATGTCTGAAGTGTGGCATACCCTACTAACATGAGCTGAGGTTGCTGTAGTTTGGATTTCTTTTTTGTCAGCTGGGCTTGCTCCAGGCCATTTTGAATAGCAGCTTCCCTCTGAATTCTTTGGCTCTCCCCATGTCAAACGAAAAGCTCAGCTCAGCTGTTTTCACAGCTGTGCCGGTTTAGTTCGTTAGTTTCTCTCTCTGACCGGACGGAGGACGGACCGGTCACATGGATCCGGCCGAGTCGCGCCAATAAAGCCCCTCAAGAGGCGACTCGGCCGCTGGAATTCCTAGGGAACACAGGCACCGACTTCACAGGCACCTGAGGGTTTCAAGAACTGTTTTGGGGGTTATGTGAACGTAGAGCCATCGTTGGTGGCTACTATCCGAGCATGTCGGATCCCCAGCTCCTCCAACAGCCGCAGCCGTCATGTGGCACTGAGTATTGTTGCCGGTGCGCAAGACTAGGCATGTTCTGTTGGGATGAGAGGAGGCTCCAATATAATTTCACAATGAACCAGAGACGCTTGCCCACCAAAGTTTCTCTCTTCCATGACGGCGCGCTGTGGCAACAACTGGACTTGTGAGAGAATGTGAGGGAACCGTCAGACCTTGGATCACTTGCCGCTTGCCTGAATTGGTTCTTGCCGCTTGCCTGAATTGGTTCACCAAATGTTTGTTCTCGTGCCGAAGGCTCTGTGTGTGCGCACCATCCACCACATTTGATAAAGATACAGCATACTTCTAAAGCCTAGACAGTTGGTGCCGTTAAGCACGCAGCCGGAATGCACCGGCATGGCCTAGTTGTCGACCAGACTTTGTGCTCATGAGGCCTTGCTGTGGGTGGGTCGCCTACAGAGTTCTACCGCCAAGTTAAGATACTTAGAACTTAGTTGGTGTACTTGTCGTAGTTAGAAACTAGTTACAACTAGATTCTACCAGCTGTACGCAGCATATGGTATAACTAAGCTATAACTTGTGTAACTTCTCTAACGTAATGCATTTTTCGACAAGTCAGTTTAGAGGATACAAGCAAAGTTTCAACAAGAAAACACTGTCCACGGCATGTTCTATTGGAGAATTACTGTTCTCTTTGAAAGGAAATTAGGTGGACCACCACCCAAAAAGAAGACGCAAACAAAAACACGCGGAGGCGAAGCAAAGGCTGCAGCAGCATCACTGTTTTCTCCGGCAAACACACAGCTTCAGTGTCTGTGACATGCCACCTGGATGGTTTTTGAACCCCAGCAAGCACCTTCAGCGGCTTCATGTCCACAGCTCCGCCGCTTCTCTTGTATTGCCTTGTACAAGGCACAGCCCCTTTGCACTCCTCCAAAGGTTCGTGCACCAGAAAGAAGTGTTCTTGCAACTTCACAACAAAGAGCACCATGCCTGCTAGTCCATCATCAAAGGTGGTTCCTGCAAAGACATCATGGCCTCCATCAGTGCAAACAGCAAAAGGGTTGACGCGTCGGCTGTTTTGGTTTCTTGGAGATGGCAACACATTCACACACGTCCCGAACACATACGAACACATATGTGTTGGACGTGTGTTCACATGTGTTTATGAGTGTGTGCTAAAGGAAATAAATGCCGACACACTTCCAACACATATTGTGGAATTCACTGATATTTAAATTTGATATGAAACGTAATTTAGTTACTACATCTAAAATACAAGTTGGTTAGAAACTAGTGAACTTAGACTATGCTACGCCACGTAAAAGATCTACGCTACACCAAGGTATAAGTAAGACTAACTTGGCGGTAGAAATTTGTAACCGATTGATGGACAGCGCCGAAACCAATGTCTCGATTGAAAGCATTTGCCGATATGGCTGTTTGCCGCATGCCGTGTTTTTGGTGGCGGCACATTGCCCAGCGTGCATGCCTGCTTGATTGCTTGCTTGCTTGCTGATGATCTGACACTTGGCTTGGGAATTGAATTTCCTGCAGCTGGTGATGTTCTTTCAGACAGGCCAAAAGTGCATCACGGAAAGCAACGCTTCTAAAGTGGCACCGTCCCACAATGGCACCGCCCCACGCGCTTTCCCATCAAGGGGGTGGTTGTGAGCTTAAGCAGTTTATGGGCCACGGTTCATGATTGAATTCTGTATTGCTTATGCTGGCCTTCTCGTAGGGGCACTTGCGTGCAGGTTGCTCATATACTCTGTATTTGGCAGGTGTTTGTGTATGCTGACTTTGTCTCCGCCCTGTTGGCATAGAGTTTCCTCGTCTAAACCCGAAGGTACTACACCCACGCAGCAGGAACCTCAGTAACAGCACATTGTACTGTACCTGTTACAGCTATCATTGTTGGCATGTGTTGCAACACGTGGCACTCACATTTTCCCATTTCAGGTGGGCTCAAGAATCACCCATCAATCACAAAAACAATCATCACTGGTAGGAATTCCTACGAGTTCCATGCATCCTGTTGCCAAAAAAACATTTTTCGTTACTGACCGTGGGACGGCTGGGCCACATACCAAAAGATGAAAACACCAAACGAAGGGGCCTTGGTGTGAACCATCGGTTTTTCTTTTTGACGCAACACCCTCCGCGAAGGCGGCTGGATGAACAGGATTTGGCCACCCTTGCCATTGGCAGATTCAATCCTATGAGCCTGTCTGAAATATGGTTTCTATTTGTGTCCATTTTCCACCAGTGATTTGAATTTAGGGATCAGCACGACCAAGCAGGGGATTGCTGCTTTCCATGAGCATAGGGGTCACAACTCCAGAGCATTTGCAAATTGGAATAACAATCAAATTGTGTAAAGCAATGCATATCATTACACTAAGCCCATCTAAACCCAAAACATCCAAAAACTAAAGAAATGTACACTAAAGAAATGTACTATGATTGAGTCCATGTATGTGCATGTTATTCTGTATGACTTGGGCCCCAACACTGAACATAAGATTGCGCGGAACCTCCAGCATCATGCCCACATGTTTTGCTCTAGGGCTGGACCTTCTAGCAGGCACCGGAGCACCTGTGCCTGAATCAGCTTGTTACGCTTCACCCCGATGCCCACAAGCTTAACGGGTTTTGCTTCGAGTGTGATGTGTGCGGTCTGGAACCGGTGCAAGTCCTGAACCTGGGAATTCAGATGTAAGGGAGGGGTGGACACTTGAGGCCATGATGAATCGTGTTCATGCTGCGCTCTTGCCGACAGAGCCCAAGACAGCCGAGAGCACAGAGGCCGCGATGAGAGCACAGTTTGGGTGCTCACACAGGAGTTTGACTCAGGGTTGTGGGTCAGAACATGTCAAAACCAAGCGTCCTATGTCAGATGGAAAGGCTCGTTTCTGGCTCGTGTGCTTTGATTTGGGCCAGAGGGCATGGTCGCAAAAATAGGGTAGACCCCTCCTAGCCAGACGGTTGCAGTCTAGGACCCACATGTTTAATGTTCCATCAATGAAGTTGCTTGAAGGGTAATCATGAGGCCCGTGTGAATGTCAGGACTTCAGCAGTACTACTTGGGTAGACAATCCTGAGAGAACAGTTGTCATGTTGGCATTCATTGCATCTTTCAGACACAGCTACCCACAATTCAAAACCAACTGCAGAACAACATGATGTTCCAACAGCTTCCTGTTGAAATCGGTTCCTTGTTTGGACTACCCAGACCACATGTATCCTGGATCACCTGACCCACCAGCAGTCGACCTGGACCTTCCGGCCGACCCCAGCCGGTGCCGGAGCGACGGCACCCGGAAGACTGGATCATGTTCAAATAGATTGGTATGCATTTGAAGTGTGGTGCTTCATGTAGTGCTTGGGTACTTTGCCCATGTGATGATATGGGTGTGTATTAAAGTCGGGAGAGACCTTCCAAAGACCCCCTGCAAGAAGGAAAATAGATCGAACACATTCAAAAACCATTGGTTGGGCGTCTCCCTAATTAAATACACACCCATTGTATTCATATCACATATAATATATATTACAAAGATCATTTCCACCGTTTGTGACTGAAACACCTTGGCCAGGACCTGGAACAGGCCAAGAAGAAGGCGCTGAAACAGGCGATCACTTCCGCGGTTTTCACCTAGCAAACCCTGAGCTTTCTGGGAAGCGGCGAGAGAGAAGCCCGGTGTGGAATGGTATTCCAAGCAAGACAGAAATGGTCCAGTGCTTTTTCCGCGGCTGTGGTGTGTTTTTGACGGTGTCAGGGCCCTCCGAAGAAGCCAACGGTGACTTGTGGTGTCGGGTCCGGTGTCGGTGTCGGGTCCGCCATGAAAGCCCAAGGCTTCGCAGAGTCCGAACGCTCCGTTCCTAGCGATGCCCTTGGTGACGTTCCTAGCGATGCCCTTTGTTACTATATGTGCACTGGGGGGCGGAAGAGCAGAGGTATTTTGGCTGTCTCAGAATCCCATCATATCCCAATGGTTTGAGGTCCACTCCTTTGGAAATACATCCATTTCTCCGTACAAGCCGTCAAACATCTCCAGAAAGTCAAGGAAGACGGGGCAAGGTCAGTTGTAGTTCGTCGCTTTGGCCGCACCCTCCGCAGCAGTTCACGGCCCGACCGCGAATCGCGGCGCGACACCGGCGCCGCGGCCGAGCGGCCGATGAGGCAGGGTGAGGTGGGTGACTGACCCGAAGACCCGGTGGCACAAGCAGGTGAAAAAATGTTTCGAAATCAAAACAGCCCCAAGGAAATCTTTGCTAGAATTCATTATTTTCTTGAACACCCTCGAGATATATTGTATTTGTATGAATGTGTGTTAAGGTTCAAACCAGGGTTTCACTTTGTGCAGCATATGGGGCATACATGCATTCGTTTGGCAGGATGCCGGGAGTCTCCCTGTGTATTTGTCCAAGTCTTTCATAAGGCAAGGTGAGGCGGCCCAAGGTACACCCCTCGAAAAGGTGGTGAGGCGGACCAGATTCCCAGAAGGGATTGAAGGGAATGTCTTCAGGAAACCAAGGTTTTCACACCAAAAGCTACGGCTTTCAGTTCCCTCAAACGGGAAAGATTAATTCCTATACCAGCCAGCTTGCTGAACATCTTATTCTGATGGTGTTTTGGCATCCGAACGAAGTGTGTGCCTGTAGAATTGACAAACAACTTTTCAAAAACGTGTGGTTCCTATACCGACCAGTCACTCCAATCACGAGCCCCTTTCCAATGCTTGCAGGAGCCAACGGTAGATGTGCAGCTTGGTGCATGAGAAGAGCTTGGCATGTAGTGGACCGGTAACTTTTTTCTACCACCACCACTACTACCACCACCACCAAGACTACTGCTACCACCACCATCACCACTACTACTACTACTACCACCACCACCACCACCACTACCACTACTACCACGACGACTTTGACTATGACTATGACTACTAATTACTGCTACTACAGTACGTCAAGAATTCCTTAAGCCCTTCGCACTTTGTGCTTCAGAAACCAACCGAACCAGCAGAGACCAGGCCGAGCCCAGGTCGAGCCCAGGGCCAGGTCGACCCTGGACTCGTCGGTCGGGTGGGTTGAAAGGCTTGGGATCAACCTGGATCAACGGGTCAACGGTGGGAAAGCAGATATGGGGTGTAGGATGTATGGATGTTCAGGGTTCAAACTGAAGAAAGTAATCTATTGGAGAACTTCTTGGGTTCAAAACTGTAGGGTTTGGGGTTTCGGGTTTATTTGTTTGGGGGTTGTTGTTTTTTTGGTGTCAAGAGTTCTTTGAACTCACAAAAGATCAATGATCAATGTTTCGTGCGGAAAGAATCTCCAGAAGATGCCCAAGCTGAAAGTGGGCGCATAGTGCAATAGTGGCACCCCAAGAATGCTCGATCAAAGTAACTCTCCAAACAAACCAACCATCGCCCATGGGTCACCACACCGCAAGATGACCCGCTGATACCCGCTGCTGGACGTGAGTTGGTGAGTTGGTCGTGGCCAGAGCACCCAAAAGGAGATGGCGGACAGATGAGTTTTTGTACATGAGTCATGGCCACCTAAAGGATTTGGTCAACAGCGTATGCCACAGGCTGTCCCCCATGGGCTGCACCCCTTTCTTCCTCAGAGGTGTCCCCTGCAAAGGAAGTGACCAAATGTGAGGAACAAAATTTGCTCAACCTGGCGGAGGGTCGCTTTTTTCCGCCGCTGCCGAGAGAAAGACTGAGCTCCGCATCTGAGGTTCAGAGTGACACTCTTCCGAGGATGTCGTTAAGCTCGCCAGGGCCCTGTGTTTGGGAACAAGCATGGGAAGATGGATGATATTTCCCAGACTCAAAAAACACACTGAAGTGGACTTGTATGGACATTTGATGACCTTTCACATCACTTGGCTCTTTGACGGCCTCAGGAACTGTTGAGGTCTTGGAAGACAGCAGTTCGAACTGTTTGAGAAATACCCGTTGAGACCTGTAGTACTTTGAGACCTCCCGCATCCTCCCACATTCGAGACGGCATCCCCCAACCATGTCCTGGCACGCCCCATCCCCTCCCCACGGTGTCGGCCCGTCTTCGGATGTCGCGCCGGTCTCTTGAGGCCCACACGCTTGATGGATGTGAGGAGCGGGTGGGTGGATGTGCTGAATGGTGCGAGTGGTGCGAGTGGTGCGGGTGGTGCGGATGGATGATGCGGTGGTGGATGGGAGGGTTGGACGTATCGGAGCTGGTGGAGAAATGGGGAGCTGATACCAGCTGATACCAGCACCACCGGTTTAGGGGTGGTTTTTGGATGGAACATAGATCGTCAGGGGGGTCCAAAAACCACCCATTGGGTGGTGCTGGTACAATCATGTTAAACAGATGGTTTACCTCCTAGTTTAGAAGTTGTTTCTTGAAGGGGGTGTCCTCCTTCCCGCGAGTCAACACGAGCAAAACTGTGTCCTTGAGGGGGGGGGTTGATCTCATGCTTGAAGCGACGAGGTCCTCTGGATACGTAAATCTTGAACAAACCATTGATGATCCTACATTTCCAAGGTACTCTTAGGAGCGATCGGACGCTACGAACGGGGCTCCTGGCCTTACTACTAGGAGCAAGTAGCTACAGCTACTAGTAACACAGTGTGCCAAAATCGATGGGAATGGGCTCACTTGGCCCCTGCTTCCGACTCACTGCAGTGTCTTGAGACCGAAATGGTTGAGTAAGCCAGTCTTGAGATGACCGGGATGTCTTAGCCAACAAGTCTTTTGGGAGGGGAGGCCAGAGAAAGGAGCCCTAGCCCTTGTGTTGTTGAGCGTTTGTCGGCTCATGGCGACTCTCCTTTGGTGGTTGTCATGGCTGACAATATTCGGCCGAAGAATGACTTGAGTGAGTTTGACCTGCTTGACAGCGAAAGAAGACATATATGGCTTGCGTGATAGATAGACTATTGAAAAGGTGAGTCAATGGTCATTCCCGACGCATGAAGAGACGAGAGACGAGGAGGGGAGGGACTTTTGGGGGTGAACGCATAAATATTAAATATACTCTCAGTCTCTCCTTCATCTTTAACATGGGCAAAACCACCGGCTGGTAGATGAGAATCCTCTTAGTCCAGGGTCTGTCTGCAGGGGTGTCAAAAGATGACGACACAACGCGAACTCGCGCGCGTTCGCCGCCACGGTGGGCGCGGGCGACGAAGGAGCAAACCCAGCAACGACTTCACCAGCTTTTTGCTGCGGTGTGGCTTGGTAGTTTTTGTGCGGAGTGTGGGAGTATAGATGGATGTAGATATGGATATTTTCTTATTAATGAATGAGACGCCGTCCAGACATGGATTGTGAAGGCTCTCTTCATATATGGGCGTGCATTAAAAAAGGGAAACCTCCCAAAGACACCCCGGAAGAAGGGAAATAGACGCCGTAAAAAAATGGCCCCCATTCATTAGTTGGGAGGCCTCCCCTATTAAATGGCCGGTTTCTTGTAGCCCAGCAAACCAGTAACAGTCAGTAAAAGACTATCACTATTTTTCAGATGTCGGCCTCCACTAACCATCATCATCCGCTGTTACTGGTAATGGGATAGACCCAACCGATATATGGTTTCTTTGATGGCCAGTATACTCAAGAGTCTACGTGATCCTTCTTCGTGGCGCGTTAGTCGGAGGCCATCAATTCGGAAGAAGGGCGACACCAACGTCAGCAGTCTATAGACTGCAATTGAAAGGGTTCTTGGAGAGGCTTCCAACGTCAGCTTTTCGTTTCTTTTGAGCTTAGTGAGCATATGAGCCAAGGCTTAGAGATCTTTGTTTGAGGATCCTTTTGAGAGGCAAATCGATTGTGAGCTCCAAGTATAGCAGTTTTTTTGTTGAACGAACAATTCTATAAGAGATTCTCCTCTAAAGCAGCCTCATTGCATATCATAGGCTCCTTGTTTACAAGAAATTTACACTAGCTAAAGACATGGAAACCACGTCAAACATGCTGAGTTGAAAAAGGATTTCTTCAAATACATACAGTATCCAACATTATCCAACATGTGGTTTTCAAATGTGAATTTAGTTTGTGTGTACAAGGATGTAAAGGGATGGTCCCTACAAGTTAGCATCTTCATTAGCATATCTTATTCTGTTCATTCACATTTCTAGTTGTTCAAAACAAGCACTGCAAAACCACTGCGGTTGATCAATGTATAGACGAAGCCCATAGACTTGGACATGAGAGATTTGAAAGCAAAAATACCATATACACGGATTCGGTACCTGAGTGGAGTTGAACACTTCAAGCTACAGACTGGATTGGAGTGAAGTTTTGGTTACAGTACCTTTGTTGTCCCTATTGTTTCAGCCTTTGGCATGCATGCCTGTCTATCACAAACAATAAAGACACCACATATGATATTCTGGTGCCCCTTCCCAAGACACATTGAAGAGCTTTCAGCTCATCAAAACAGGTGTGGATACACTGCAAATACCAATGAGTTCTGCACATAGGTAGACTTTGACCACTTCTTGTTGGGGGACCTTTATATAGAGTAAATATATGATATATATATATATATGTATGCCTGTGTGGGTCTATAGGCAAGTACTACAATCGCACAAGAAGCACAGCAACTTCTTTGCTGCGGAGTACTTGCCTAAAACGAAGCGTGAAAACCTGTTGGACTCCTGCGCACAGGGCGCAAAATCTATTTGATCCAGGGGATGACACATACAGAAACGCTGCATTCAATGCACAAGCTCACAGAAACGCTCCAAAGATCAGGTAACCTTCACAAGTGTCCGCTGTCGAAGGTGCTCCAATAGCAAAGCATGTTGAACACCGGTCCTTCCGTGTTTGGGCTCCTTCTCCCACCGTGGGTCAACGGCTCAACTGGACCCGATTCCCGGGCCGTCGAGGCTACGACTCCCGCAGCTGCGGTGGTGTGTGCTTGCGCACGGTGGTCTTGCTGGGGAGCATTGGGCCACTCGGAGCGCAGCCCAACACGAGCACGACGACGACGAGTGCATGCGCCGGTGGTGTTTGGAGAGCCGGCCTTTCCACTGGGCTCCCGACGGAAGGTATTGGGAGCAGAACAAACTCAGGAGGTACTTGGAGCCTTATGCTTTTTTGGGGTGGGGGTGTTGAAGTCGGTTCATGGGAGTTCCCTTAAATTCAAAATAATTCCACGCAGAAAATGGCCTCCAAAGCCAGTCGGGCAATGCCAAACGTTTTCTGATGCCAGTAGAAGCACAAAAAAGGGCCTCCAAGATCCTTCTCCCAAGCCTGTCCTCCAGCCTGTCTCAAGGCCGCCCCTCACCACACCCTTAACCAATCTATTTTCACGCAGAGGATTGGCCTCCAAGGCTATTGGGTCTAGGCCAAACGTTGCTTTCTGACGGCAATAAAAGTCTATGTCCAAGATCCTTCTCACGGCCGTCAAAAGTCCTCCAGCCTGTCTCAAGTCCAAGTCCACTGCAACAGGCTTCTGAACCCGCCCCTTGCCACACCCTTAGCTAATCTATTTCCACGCACAGAATGGCCTCCAAAGCTAGCCAGTTGGTGCCAAACGTTGCTTTCTGATGCCAGTCACTGCCAGACGTTGCTGATGCTCGTCATACCGGCTGGGGTTGGCGGACATGCAATCCCTGGCAGTAGCATGGATGTAGACAAACACTTGTTTGATGATGAGAACTGCGTCAAAATGATTGATAGCTAGATAGATTGCTGATGGCCATGCTAGTAAACATTCAGTTGGCGGCTCATGAGCCATGCTTTTGGGGGTCTACCACTTGCTGTTTCAGCGTCTATGCCAGGTCATGCGCACCGCATCTCAAGTTCCACAAAGGTCTATGTGTCATTACGCATGCGAAGAGACCCATGGACCCATGGACCCAGACTCTTGGAGGGCTTGGCCATTCAGAAAACAAAGGAAGAAAATCATCGTTCGTCTAAAAGGGACCCGGTCGACTCTTCGATTGCTGAAATGCGTTCGTGCTTCACTTGCCTGGAAGGAACACCTTTTGTTTTCCCCAAACAGTTTACTCAGAAATGGTTCTTGACTAAGCTCGGTCCAAACGAATCGTTTTGAAACTGTTTGGGGTCTATGCTGGGGTCGACAGTCCACCGGACGTGGTTCCACGGGTCGACAGGAAGCGGTCGCCGCTCAGGTCGGTGATCTACACCATCTCCGTGCTCACGTGCCGGCCTTTTTCGCGGGGCGAGGTCGGTTGCCGGTGAAAGAAACCGAAGTCGGTTGCCAGTATAGAGAAATGCAGTATAGTATGGATGAAGCCGAAAAAGGAGTGGATATACGGATCTCTACTTTCCATGCGCAACATGTCAATCCACAAATCCAAATCATTGAATTCCACAATCCCAACATGACCTGCATGTCCCCTTTGATGGTAATGGGGTTAGGTATCCCAATCCCAACATGACCTGCATCCACTTCTCACCGATCTCCTCGCCCGTTATGGTTCTTCGGAACTCCGCTGGCCTGTTCGGCCCGTGCGGCCAGGTACAGTGCTCACAACGTGCACGTGCGCTTCTGGCTGGGGGACCGGTTCTAAGTCGTCGTCGGCCGCATCGGAAAAGGGGTGCGAAACGGGAGACCTATAGAAAGACTTCGAAAGACCTAAAGAAGGCAGGAGGAAAGGGAGGAAAGGCAGGAGGAAAGGCAGGAGATGTTTGGACTCACTTACCATGGAAGTGGATGGCATGTGTTTTGTTGGAAGACGACCTTCCTCTACTAGACAAACTGAGGGGGTGAGGGTGGGCATTTCCCACTTCCATGTTGGAGAGTTGGAATGTAGGTTGGTAGGGTCTCTACCTGCTCAACTCTGTGGCACCCTGTGGTGTTTTGTTTGTCTTGTGGTTGTTTGGCTGCAACAGCCGGGTTCCCAGAGCCCAGCTCAGTCACAACGGAGCATGTTTTGCCACTGTAGACGCCCCAGACTGCTGATTGCGAGCGAGAAAAGTCCTGGACATCAATCACTGATCGAATCTTTTTTGGTCGTGCGTTTTTGTTGGATGTCTTCTTGGATTCTTGGTAATCTAGCTTGTGGCTTCCAGTAGCTGCTTGAACCAACTGTCCAATCAGTACCATGGAGAAGAAGGTGTCCCTGTGAACCAGTTGTTGCAGGTGTTTGAAGTCAGGCAAACTCCCAGCGAAACACTGGGTGATTCACTCGGCGATGTCATATTGAACCGGTTTGATGACTGATGAATAAAATGTTCGTTGCTGGTGGGTGTTGATTACTGCGAATTCCAAAACCAGAATACTGTTGGCGGACCAATTCCTTTAAACTTTAGCACTACTGAAGGGCACACCCGATCCACTACAAGTACCATGCACTCTGTGTGGACCAGGTTCTTCTCCCAAACATACCAAACGCACCCAAGTTTGACGCACTGGGAGGACCTCATCATCGTATGTCTCTCTATCTATTTGGCGGCCTTGCTGCCGGCTTTCTTCATGTCCCCTGGCGTGTGAAGCGCTCCGGTCCTTCCGCACCGTCCGGTCCTTCCGGGGCCGGTGAAGCGGTGGAGCTGGACGGTTCCCCCGTTCCGGGAGCGTCGGACACCGAAAAAGGGGGTTCCTCAATCTCAGGTGGTGCAGATTTGCTTCATGCATTTTTGTGCATGTGAGAAGTGGAGGGAGGTCTTTCTGAATATCGGCGCAAAGAGGTTGGTCGGTTGGTCCTCCCGGGTTCGTGGCCCGCCGTTTTCCCCGATGGTTGGTGACGATGTTCCCCACGTCCGATGGGACCGTGGGCGCCCGGGCGTTCAGCAAGTGGTGTTGTAACCGGAGGTTGGACCGGTTGGGTTAGGGAAGGGTGCGATTCTTATTGGTCTGCAGGGAATTGTTGGACAGATGTCTTGCGGTTTGCGCAGATGGGACAGTTGAAATTTCTCCAGCGCAGATGGGATCTACACAGATGGGATATATTGGAGGTTTCCAAGCAACCTGAGTCGGTTTCCGCAAAAGTAGAGGGGCGATGATCTACAGTGTTCCATCACATGGAGGAAAAGTCATCAAAAAGAAACATCGATCAACCCCCATCACACACACACACACACATCTGTCAACATAACTGACATTTGATGTGTTTTGACTTTGCAGCCTTCAGCGGTCTGTGTGACACAATGAACCTTTCACCACGAAGTCTGCAGCGTTTCATCCCCTCCACATGTGTCCTTTGATCCCTGAGGCTGATGTACAAAATTTGTGTCAATGCTCAGCGGCGGGTGATCTTGAAGGCCGCCCGGGTAATTTTCAGCTTTTTGTCACCAAAAGTTGCACCAAAAGAACACTCTCCAATCAGACTCGACCCGTTTGGGCTCCTGGCCTACCTCCGTTTCAGTTCAGTGGTTGAGGTGGGTGCCAGGAGGGTCTAGAGAAAGCACCAGTCACCGAACCGGATCGCCGTTCGGCCCGAAAGGGGCGAATCGCCAAGCAGCTATGCGTCACCTGCTTTCATTGGTAGCACCCAGCCCGTCAGTTCCAAGAGATCACCACCCTTTTCCGCGTGTTCGGTGGGGGGAAGCCAACCTTTGTCTGGTTCCCCATCCAATACTTGCTGTATTGACAAACGGAGACATACTTCCAGTTGTTGCCAGCGTACTATTTGCATGATGGGGTAGTAGACGAATGGACAACATTGCAACCTTTGTTGTGAGGTACTTCGGATGAACCCACCATCCTTTTTGTTCCCCCTTTCAAACCTCTATGTCTAGTGTTAACCATAACTCTCATAAAAGAAGAGCATCATTCACATCTTTGTAGCAGTTTTCTATTAAGCAAAACAAATTAAAGGGAGACTGAGCGAAGACTTGTTGCTTTCTTCTCGTGAAATTCTGGAGCAAAACAGCTAAGGCTATATCTGAATCTATAGTTAATTTTCAGACTCCTTTGCCGTAATGTTCCCTCGACTTCACTCGCCAAACCGCTCGCCAAGCCGCAGCAGGATCCTCGCGCGCGGGGCCATGAGGTGCGCGCGCTGCGAGACCGCGCGCGCGGTCGGAAACCGAGGGACCGGTGAAATGATGTCCTTTTGGGATGACCCTGAGAAGCAGCGTCTGTGGATGTGTGTGGAGGTCAATGGTTTTGTAGGATGAAAATGTGCATCAGAATCTCTGTTTAAGTTGTTTTGGAAGTTTTTGGGAGTGGGATCACTCACTGCATACAGGATTTAGAGGGAACCCGCTGTTCTCGAAAGATCCTCTTCCATGGAAGATGTTTCCAGGCCTATGATCAGCGGGCTTTGACACTAGTCAAGGTGGTATCTCCAAATCAAAGGTCCAGAGAATTCATTTCTGCTCACCATTGTACTTTGAGTCATGGGGTAGGTGCTCGACTAAACAAGATCGAGTGAGATTTAGGGGCGCACAGGAGTGGGACCGGTTCCAAACCAAACATCCAGGAGTATGCCATGGAATCAGAGAAGATGAATACAGCAGATATGTGATGAATATTCTTAATTGGATTGTTTGTTGCTGCTGTGGCATCGCTTCTCGATCGAGGGAAGCCATCGAGCGTCGAAAAAAACGACGTTTCAGAAGGTCCACGAGCTCTTCTTGCGCGTGTTTGAAGAACTCTTGCGGGGTGAGTGAAGAGTCACTAGAATCACTAGAACTCGGAAGCAAAAACTTCCGACCATCGGAAGCTGGATCCGAGCTCTCGTCGATCCACCGAAACCGTCTTGGAACGCGTTCTCCGGGACGAGGGGGAGATCGTTTGAAACACCAACACGACCCACTCGTTATCTTCCTCGTCTCTTCTCGTCCGTTTCCGCCGTCCATGATGGTCGGAGCACATCCGCTGCCAGGATCCCTCAAGATGTTCGCTGAAGACGTGGGGGAGCTTGGAACCAAACCAGCTGGAAGCGTGGTGCATCGACGAAGCACGGTGCGTGCAATCTATTGCGCGCACCGAGGAGGGGGGGGGAAGGAAGCACGTCAAGGTCAATGTCACGGAACTTTTGCGCAAAACATCTTTGTGCTCAAAGTACTCACCCAACAGAACGCAAGATGCTCCCCTTCAACTTCCCAGCCAGGCTATATGCGGGCCATGTTGTTTGCTAGTGGTGTTGCTTTAGCACCAACCACATTTCCTTCCGCACATGCCATGATGAAACACCGCACGGATGAACAAATGGGTCTCATCTTCGCCATTGGGGCCAACATCTTCGAAGGCTGCGCTTCATCTTCATGGTGATGACCTTGTTGGCCTCCTTGGCAGCGGTCCTGGGATACATTGTGGCCCCTTTGGCGTCGGTGTTCTTCGTGGCTTGGGACGGTGCCGCCATTCTCTTCGCGGGTCGCGGGGCGTGTTGGTCAGGACACCGGGTGGCAGCGCTGCAGGGATTTGGGGAGGTCTTTTTTCGTAGTGGGTGTGTATTTAATAATTTGCAGGAGACTCTCAACCATTGGAAGTATTAATCAGATATGTCTATGTTACATAGACATGTGATTAATACTTCCAAAGGTTGAGAGTCTCCTAATGTTTAATTATTCTTTAATAGGAGACGCTCAACCAATGGAAGTGACATGGTCACATGGTCTATGTCCTTTGGAACCCAGGAGGGACGCCGACGAGGCTTACGTGTCGGTCTCCCTATTTCAGCCACACACTCGTCACGTAAGCCTCGTTGCTCCCAGTGACATCCCAGAGATGCCACGATGCCCACTCCTTGTGGTCAGCCAGCTCCTCCACGCAGAAGTCTTACATATCGAGGTACCAAGAGAGAGGTTAAGTGACCGTAAATGGGACCCCACTGGAGTACCGGACAGTCATGGGATAGTCTATAGGGTCCTTCAACCTTTGTTGCCATTGATTACATGTTGATTTCCGGTTTTGCCGGTTTTTTGCTGTGCGTGTGGCATTTGCTTCGTGAAGAAGCAGAACGTTCACGTTCAATGTCGAGACGTGAGTCGAGACCACTTGGGAAGGTACGTAATGATGTCACTCCCAGGAGATCCAATTACCGCTGGTAACCACTGGTTCCAAAGACGCACAAACCATAGAGCGAGCAAGGACCCCTGGTACGTTATAGCCAAGATCGATCCATTGGGACCAAGGCTATAGCTGTGCTAAACTGTCACACCTTATCCCTAGGGCTCCAGAAGTAGCTTAAGAGGGTCCAGTCATACCTTCTCAGGAGGTCCTTGGAGCCCTATTTGGCCCAACCGCCAGGCGGTGTCGGTTTTCTGGTGGCCATCGGTCACCAGGTAAGCATCTCTCATGGAGCCATGCTTGTAGGGCCAATGATTTTGATCATTGTGGCTGGCAAGGTTCACTGTATACCAGCTATAGTAGCTATAGGTCACCAAAGGAACCGCAAAGAGCATCTCAAGCATAGTGAAACTGGCTGAAGACATGTGCCAGGCCATTTGGAAAGCAACACCACCTACTTATTTGGTGAAGAATCCGCTCGATCGCCTCCATACCTACCACATCGGCTAGGCTAGGTCCCTCCTTTGATCCACTAATCAAATCCATCAACCGATCCTGAAGAGTTGTTCATCACTTCAGAGGAATCAGCACACCGCCGTCAGAACCCACCTTCCATACATAGCTAGCTAGCTATTTACACCACTGAATGTGAGGTGAACGACCAAACAAACCACCAAAATCCACCAAATGCAAAGTCCTTGCACGTCCGGCACGTCTGCAGGGCGTTCTTGACAGATCAAGCAAGTGGCCAAATCGCTGGAAGGCTTCGACTAATCCACCACGGTCACCGTACGAACCGATGTGTTTCATGACAGGACAGACGTTGCAGGTTTTGCTCTTGGCTCACCATGCTCAGGTCTCAAACGGCATGGATGTGCCGGCGCTCTCAGGGAGAATGGGCTGTGGGGGATTGGAGACGAAGGCAGGTGGCTTAATCCAACAGAAAAAAGCTTGAATATCAAGCCACATCCAGCCAAGACTTGTTGTTTTCAGGGTTTTCCTGAGCATGTGCACCAGTCCGTTGTAGATGAAAGAAGCAGAAGGAAAGGCTCATGACGAAGTCCAAATGCATACGCAAAACATTGAGTGTGCATGAGAGCAAATCCAACGGGGCATGGCAGGGTGGTGGATCTTTATGTGCGGCTGGTGAAAAGACCAGCAGGGGTCGATTGTGGTCTTTCTACATGCTACCAACAACAACAATCCGCATGGAATGAAGATGAATGAAGTTTCAACTAAATGGTTCGAAAAGAATGTTCTGCGCCAAAGGGCGCGAGGAAACCAAAAGACGTCTCCAAAATGATATAGTATGCTTTCCTCAACTGAGGTAGAAAGCGGTAAATACGCCCTCGCCAGCGAGCACCAAACTTTTCTCAGCAACGACACGATGCTGTGCGCATCCTTTTCTCAGCAGCTCGGTCGATCGCCTCCCAAGGTCAAGCTCCCTGCTGCTGCAGTGCGGCAAGAGCGGGAATAGCGAAGCTCTCGCGTCGGGAAGCTCCGGCCCGCACGTCGCGGTCGCTCTCTCGTTCCGACCCACAGAGAGGGTTTCCGGCGCGGATGCACGGCGTGGTGGATTTTTTCGTGTGTTATCCTTCGTGTTATCAGGATATTATGAAAAGCATATTCTGTATATTTCTGTATTAATTAGTTTGGGAACAAATGATGTTATCCTTAGTTTAGGCTGGTGTAGTGTTGAGTGGCTATTTGTGGAAGCAAGTTTCAGAGCAAGAGTCCCTGAGACCACTCGGCCGACCAGATGATCTCGCACTCGGCCGCCGGTGGAACTCTCCGCCGAGGTCCAAGGATCTCGCACTGGGCGAGTTCCAGTCGGCCCAGAGGCCGGGAAGATGGCGGCGCTGGCGAGTGGAATAGTGTTGAAGCCTCAAAAAGATGCCGTGGTGGTTGAATTGCACCACTACCTGATATCATGCACAAGACCAGCAGCATATTACGTATATGCATCGAGTTCTTAGATGTTCCGTTGTTCGATACCTGTGAGTCCGCTCTTCCGCTCTGAATAGTCGTCACCACAACTCGAGCGATTTCTCTGCATCACTCTCGTCCAGGAGTGGGTTCATCCACTTCCCGGTTCCTTCCAACCGAGGTTAAGTGACCTTATAGGACCCTACTGGGGTACCTAGAGGATAGTCTATAGGGTCCTTCAACCTCTGTAGCAAATTCGTTTGAGACCGAGACCGGAAGTCCAGTCGTCGATCTGGGGCTGGACCGGTTGCCCCCAGTGACGGTCTGATCACGGGGAAACTTCTGTGGCGGTCTGTGACCCTGCATTCGCCAAGTGGATGAAAAGTGGTTGGCTGTTCATTGAAGAATACAGACGCCTTGCTTAGAATGTACCGCTGATCTTTAAAACTACAGGTGATGCTTCGCGAAGGATTGTTGATGAATCCATCTATCCTGAGGCAGCAACACGACCAACATGTAGAAACTCATTGCGATGTCCCAATCACGACATACCACAAGCCAGTTGCTCATATGAGCCCCCAAATCGGCATATAAGACCAAGTCAACATGTATCCGAAGGTAAGCCATCTCCACGAGGGGCCTGATTGTGAGGAATTCAAAGGAATCTAGTCAGTGCAAGTCACCAAAAGAAAGCACCACATGGCACCACATCCACTGACTATCCCTTCTTCCATCCCACCGGACGCCTGCGGATGCAAGACCCGGACGCCTGTCGCAGGTGCACTCGGTCGCTGGACGCCTGTCACGGCTTCGCAGAGGCGGGGCCTTCCACCTCGCGGTGGACGTGGCGGCGAGGAACACGCTAACGAGCAGGGCCCAAGGAATCGGCGACCGGGTGAATGTTTATCCCTATAGGGCTCCTGGCCTACCTCCGTTTTTGAAGGCGCGGCGATTGGGGTGGGTCTAACCACCGGACCTGAGGATATTGCCGTTAGGGCAGAGCTGTTTTTTGCGGCGTTCCTTTTTCAAAAGCCACCGGTGTTCACACAGTGCAAGGGTGAAGGGTGCTCCAAGTGCCCTGGCCTGACTCTGCACTCAGGACCCCTCCAAGGATGATGGATGAATGTGAGAAGTTCCAAGGTTTTTCGATCTATTCGGACATAAACATATCATCATATCAATCGTTCCCTACAGGTCAATGACCTCATTTTACTGGAGTTGGTAATACAAAAACACCATTCCAGCAAGCAACCGACCTGGTTTTACTGGGTCGTTGGACTTGTAGGGGTTTGACATCACTTGAAGCATCTTTTACAGCCGAAGACCTGGGCCCGGCAAGGCCTTCCCACCACCTGCGCCCTATGTCAGCTACCTCAAGGCAGGGGGGATCAGAAGGACAACGATGGAAGTCACGGATCTGAGGTTTGGGAGCCAATTGCATCCAATGACTTTGCTAGTTCATCCCAGTTCTGGATCACAGAACAAATTGGATCCCAAAACCTATCTGAGTTCTCCGTGCTTTTCCCCAAAGCTCTCGACTCGAACTGGTTTGCCTTGAAGGACGAGGGTGTATTGGTGATGTCATATGCAGGGAGTGTTGTGTAGGTGTGGTGACACGGTGAGGCTGTTGTGACGGTGAGACGGGTGTTTCTTTTGATTCTTCATTGAGAGCGGCATGTCAATTGGACAAACTTGGTGGCTGAATCTATGCCACTTCATCTGCCAAAATCGCGCCACTTCAAAGAGCAACAATGGTAGCATAATATACCGGCATCCCTGACAGCTCTTCGCAACTTGTTGATTTTTTTGGATTTGGCCAAAGTATAGTTTTAATATGTTTGAACCAAGAGTATTGCAGTCATGCACGACCGGCGCTGCGTTCAGAAACTATTGTTTCACAGGGCTGAGGACATACTGAGACACACTGCAACTGTAATGCTCCCAATGCAGGTTCCAGCCGGAATTGATAGAAGTAGGGCAACCCACACGTCGTTTGGGAATGAAGCCCTTTGGAAATCAAACTTCCCCAAGGGCCCTCCAGTGGTGAAGTGAGTGTTACTTGGTCGCTTTTATGTTGAATTGCGCGGCAACCGCAGGTGCTTGAGTATGAGCTGGACTGGCCAATTGGGGTTTGGAAGGGGAAGGTGCACAAGGGTCGGAGCGTGATGTTTATTGATTTCTCTTACTGCATGAACGTCATTGTTTCATGATTTTCCAAGAGAGGGGAGAGTAATGAATTAGGGCTGTCAAAAGAGCCCGCCTGGTATGTGTAAATACCTGTTTCTTCTATTGCCCAGGGTCTTCTTTGGGCGGCATCAAGCTCGGTGTGTTTACTTTGATGATCTTTGATGTTTACATCGTGATCTTCCTGAGGCTTTGGGACACCAACTCAAGCACCACATCAATTCTGCTTTCCCTGAATTCTATACATAAGCACTTCGCAGCACCCCAGTATTGCGGAAGATCCTCCTCTTGGGTGTTAGATGATCAGCGACAGTTGATCAGCGACGGCCAAGGCATTCAATATGTAATCTCAGTGAGATCCTCTGAGCGGGGTATTTCTCACCACAGCAGAGGGCTGTCCTGCAGATGCAGTTCCCCATGTTCATGATTCCACGTTGTATTTATCAGATATCCCAATACCACCAATGGTTAATCACCATGAAAGTACATCTCTATATACTGTAAATCCGTGTGTGTTTGTTCGTATGGACTCAACCCCGTTCTCAGAACGAAAGGTCTCGGTGCCGGTGCAGGGATGGCGCGACCCGCAGGACTGTGCAGGGTGGTGCGGCGCGCACCAGCCCTTCTTCAACCTTCAAGCGGCTACCGGGCACGAAGAGGCGCATGTAAAAAGGGCATGCGAGAGAGAGAGGGAGAGAGAAGGTTGTGGGGTTCAGTGGTGAGACAATGGTAGATCGTGGTAAATCAGAGCTTCTCGGAGAGATTTGCTTTCAACCTGTCTCTAAGTTCACCTGTTTTCCATGAGGGAGGGGCTATTTCGGCTATCCTGGTGTTTCTTCGTGGAAAGTTCTGTTTTTTTCGCACCTAAATCTACGGTCAGTCCACTCTCACTCACCCTCGCAAACGGGATGAATTGAACCAACAGCAAAAACCACCAGCAAGCAGCCGGGCAAGAAGGTAAGAAAACGGCTTGTATCAAGAGTCAACTGCGCAACTGCATTTAGGTTCAATCAACTGCAATCGCCCCACCAATCACATCAACCACCTGACAACTAGACCCAGCCAATAGACACCAGACCTCCAAATCTATGATATATCACCTCACACCTGCAGGGCGGACTTGAAAGCCAACCAAACCAACTACAGCAGCCACCCATCCCACCGACCTGCCATAGTCTACCAGACGCGGCCACCGGTCAAACGACCCAAATCCATCCATGGGTGGCGACGGGTCGCCATCCAGGCCTGCGCCCTCCGCTTGGGTCGGCACCTTTGGACCGTGAGCACCGTGGCGGGAGCGGGGAAGCTCAGCTGGGACGAGGTCGCCGGCGATCAGTCTCCGACCCGGACACCGAGAGGACAAAAGCACCAGGCGCCACCAGTGCCGGTCAGGTGATGGAAAGATGTGGTTAAAGGATGTCAAAAGGACCGAGTCAAGAGATGCACCAGGGGTGACCAGCCAGGGGACGGCACCAACCAGTTGGCACCAACCAGCCATTTCCTTTGTTTCCGCAGAGAAACCCGCTCGAGGCTCCCACCATGGCGGGTGGCGCCCTTTTGGCCGCCTTGGGCTTCCTGCCGCCCGGTTTGCTTTGGAACGAGAGAGTGGGAGCGGTTGTGTGGCGTTCACACGGAAAAACGGACAGGCCGCTTGGTCATGGTGGCTTAGCACAATATGTAGGGGGTCAGACGTTTTTGGTGGAGTGTGTTCTTTTTTAGGTTACGGTTAGAGGTGTTTTCTTGAGTGATGAGACTGATACTTAATGATCGACCAGCGGCAATGAAAGCCAGGATTGGTTCGATCTCTTCAACATAGATGCAGTGCTAAAGCGGTTTATTCTGCAAAAGAATACCGATTGCAGTTTGGCTGACGAGGAATGGTTCCTAGCCCCACATCTTCCTATGGCGGCAGAAGTTTGAAAGAGAGCAGTTCTTCCGTTCTTGTCCAGAGATCAGAAGTTGTGGATCATTCAATTCTATATAGAATGATATTTGCTGCAATCCCATTTTGTGTGTAAAACTGGGTTTGACCTGCTTCTTCACCTCATGAGAGATCCCTATAGGAAGAAACGAAGTACGCCGCACTTTGTTCCCAACAAGATAGAGGGGCACGTGTTTTTCGATGTCTTCACACCGTCGGGATCTCGAGGGTTCGAGTGAAGCTCAGCGCCGTGCTGGGCCGCTTTGAGGTTCTACAACTTTGAGGCCCTCTGAGAGCTGTGAGGTGCCGCGGTGAGAACCCTCAGCACTGAGAGACCATGGCACAAGGCCATGACTCTTGGGAGCTGAGAGCGCCAGTGGAAACCAATTGGGACATGACATGTTTGGAGTAGTTTTGAAGATGAAGTGCCAGAGTTCAAGGGGCTTTGAAATGACAGCCCATAAAGGTCATAGCGGAGTAGTGGTGTATTCCACATAGTGATTGGTTTTTGCCTCCAACAGCTCACACCGTCGGTGTTCACATCTCGCACTGTTCAGAACTCGAGTCCTGTACTCAGCCTACGACGCCCATCGCGGCCGCGTGGCGAGATGGAACGTCCACGGGTTCATTGGGAGAACAGGAACCTGAGACGAGCGGTTCACACATCGAGACTAAGCCTGTGGTGGAACGACATAATTGTGCAACTGGATGATGGTGTCCTTGGTGAACTTGCATGAACTATATCCCAGGTTCATTGGGCAGTTGGGTTTGGACCAGCTGTAGCTCGCGTCAGAACATTCATCTACAGTCTCCAATGTCCAGCTACAAGTATATAAACAGGTGTTGCATAGGATTGTGCTACACTTGGTTATCTCTAGGATAGGGCATTGTGGTCATTATACAAAGGATATGCCTTTTAAATGTGTTGGATAATTCCTGCCAGCGTGTCGAAGAGCAAATATGGTCGTGGCCTGTGCAGTTTCTGGATTTCAAGCACTAAATCCACTCTACATTTGTTTGGGTGGAACAGCTGGATCTACACCCTCCCTCCAACAAACATGATTTGGTGGACAACCCATGACAACCCCTTGCTTTCTTACGGTGTGGATTTACCAACCACACTATCCTGCTTTAGTTTAGACAAACAAGCAAATTCTGTGTGCTTTGAGATAGGAACTCTACATATATATCAGATATATTCAGATATTTAAATGAATTTAAATGTATTTTGTTGTGTATGTTTTTTTGCTTTCCGAGGGAGTCCAGCAAGGTTTGTTTCCAGAGAACGAGACTAGTTGCAAAGGTGGCACCGATAATGGTTTCGAGCTGAGTTGAGCTGTTCCTTCATACAAGGGTGCTCATTTCACCAAAATTATACTTCCTAGATAAGATAAAAGGTGCCATGATTGCAGGAGAGAGACTCATGGAAAGATATGCATCCAACTGGCTGGCCGACAGCTGCGGCGGTTCCATCCAATGCCGACCTTCGATATTGCTGTGGGTTGGTTAGTATGTGTAAGTTTCTTTCGGTGTTGCTATATATTAGGATCTGAGTGAGGGTTTGTGTTCAAAAATGCTTGAGACTAGCGCCTTGGATAAAAATTGACTCAACTGCTTGCGGAAAGAGCTCTATGTGGTATTTTTTGTGGTGGAAAGAGTGGTCATGGCGTGCGCCGTCCCAAGGCTGGCGATGACTAGAGTCAGTTGATCCCTTTTTTCCATAAAGGAAGAAGAGGATGGCACAGGTGGGAGTGCTGAGGGAAGAGGATGGCACACGTGGCACTCCATGATGGTACTCTTTTGTCAACTCCATTTGGCAGTTGATGACACTTTCTCCCACCCTGTTCCACTGAGCGTGGAACACACGCGACCCGTGTCGGTCGCGACCCAGTCGCATCGAGAAAAGGTCTGGCCCAAAGCAAGCAGCGCATCGGTGCCAGACACTAGGGCTTCACATAATCATACCTTTGACCTTTTTGGGGCTTGTTTTTCCCCACCAATTAAATATGATCAGAAGACCTAGATGGTAGATGACCCCTCGGAATTCGACAATTGGTGAACGACATGGAACTCATGCGTTTGAATGATGTTTGTGTCGAGCAATCAAGCTTGCTGCAGCCATTACTGGCACAAAATCAACTCCTTAGGCCTTTCCACCAGGGCCAAAGAAGGTCCTGGGTTCTTACATGTTCATGTCCGTTTGAGTAAGCCAACGAACTGGCTCGCCCACTGAGCCAGCGATGCGACCATGGGCATTGGTGCTTTTGTTGGGGTGTTTGTCCAGTATCAAGGGTCATCGGCAAACAGAAAGCATGTTGGCGCTCACGGAGGATTCACCAGAGAGGTTCGATCGAGGTGAGAAGGAGGAGGAGGTGAAGAGCAAGATCTCGAATTTCTTTGAGAGTGTGAGTGCTGCAGAGCCGATGGGAGCAGATCAAGAAGGAGTCAAGTCAACAACACAAGCAGGACGTACTCAAGACAGAACACGAGACCTTTGGCTCACGTCGGAGAGAGTTATCCACATGCAACCTGGCCAGATAGGCCTTTGGCTTGACCTGAGCACCGGTATGATTCAAAAGGTCTATGAAGGGACACAGGCTGAAAGGCTTGGCTTCCAGGTTGGCGACTACATCACCAAAGTGGGAACTGCCGGGTTCAATTTAGCAGCCTACCAAAAAGCTACCAAGCAGCAGTCGGGAGGCTATGACATAACGATTGAAAGTCCTTCTCAAGTGGCGCGGGCAGCACAATACACTTTGCTGTTCCTGCTCATGCCGGCGGGAATGGCGGGTTGTTTGCTTATGTTGTTCTTGCCTTACATCATCTCTCAAGGCCTGTTTGGACCGGATGTGGACAGCAAGACACTGACGCAACCGGCAGCGATTCTGCTGTTTGGCACAAGTGTCGCCTATGCTTTGGGGATTTTTGGCGGGTTGTTTCTCAACTGGCGCTATTCGGGTCTAGGGTACAAGATGAAAATAGTTGGAGAAACAATAGGCTTTTCAGGACTTGTGATGGGCTTGTGTTTCAACCGCTGCAATGCTTTACTGAAAGTTAGGCTTCGCAGGGACACTGCAAGTGAGCTGAGAAGTGCATACTCAGCGGCTTTAGTGCTTCCTTGCGGGGTTGCTTTGTTCAGGTTCGTTGGGCAACTGTGGCGAGTTTGGCCAGAAGCCAAGAGCCTGCGCTCGACAGCTCTCCTGCACGTATTCTATGGTGTGAGCGATGTTCCGAATGCATTTCTAGTGCTCCTATTCACTTCGTTGACTTCTGGGATATGCACGACAGCACGGCAGAGAATGCTTGAGGTAAGTGAAGGACTCCCCTGCGAAGCAACACAATTTGCAGAGTGTGTGCACAAACCCTGTGCCGAGCTTCTGCTGGACATTCCTGCAAATTTGGCTCCTTGTGGACTGCCAATCCTACTTCTGATCGTTGGCATAGTGCCAGCCTTCTTCCGTTTCTATGAAACGGCAATGAACCTTGTTGTGTTGTCCAAGCTTGGGCGTGGGCTGCCACAGGACTGGTGTGATCTTGGCTACCACGCCTTTATGCTTGCAGGTTTCACATTGGCTGCTGCCATTGGGCCTCTTCAGCTCTCCTGGGCTCTTCGAGATTTCCAGCGTCGACTCGCAGATGCACGACGGCTTGACAGCAATATGCACGTGCAAGTACAGGCAGTCGAAGCCATGCTGGCACAGGTGTGGCATGAGTCAAAACACGTAATTTTATCCCTACTGCCTTTCATGAATCGTCCATCCAAGGTTCCCAGAAGAACTTGTGTGTGTATGTATAAGTGTGTGACATGGTCGGTAGAACAGCCAGCAACTCCAGTGTGACATGTTCAACTTGGGCTCTACCGAACCTTATGGGGATGACTCATGCGATGGCACCCCTTTGCCCATGGTGGTGGCGGCGGTGGTGGTGGTGGGGTATTTGTGCACGAGAGTTCGGGTGCAATCGTGTTGGAGAGATCCAGTTCCCTACAATGTGCCCTTTGCTTCTTTGGGTGTATGCCGTTGAAATGACTGCTGCAAAGCTATTGGTGCACATAAGAAAACACACTCACAAATAACGACAAGAAGACAATCTTCCCCTAACCAGCTGGCTGTGCGACTGTGTCTAGGTTTGTTCACCTGAACATGTTGGCAGACTTTGCCAGGTGAACGATGGGAAAGGCTGGGGGATTCCCGTCTTCGAGGGCTTTGTCCTGACCAAGTCAGTCATGCAAACGCTGTGCCTGCGCCTCCTGCTCGCTGGCACTGTAATCAAGGCTTTCCTTGACACCGAGCTTGGCTTTCACCAGGACTGGACCTATTAACAGGGCAAGGTCTTGAGAAAGCTCTACCTTTTGCTGCAGTTGTTTCGGTTTTGCAGTGCAGATTCCACTGGCTGCAAAGCTTTTGCTGTTCTAGATGGCACCATACATATGTATATATATATTGCTATATGTACGTATATATTCTACTATACAGTATGTCAAGGCATTTTGGCATCACTATAATCTGCGATCACGCAAACAAATATGTTTAGGCAAACCAACTGTGTTTAGGCAAATCAGTTTTTGTTCCAGAGGAGGAGAAGGAGCGTTCTCGCACCCAGCTGGCAACAATTGTGGACGGCTTGCACAATATGACCGGTCTCTCGCGTTGCATTGGCAACTGGCCGCCGCAGTTCACAGCTATCAAAGGTTATCAACGAGAATAACTTGAAGACAAGCTCCCCAAGTCTCTTCTTGTAACATGCTGTTATATATAGCCACGTGAACCTGTTGGAGGCAGGTTTTCTGAGATGCTACGCATCCTGAGTGCAGGAGTTTAAGTTTAAGGATGCGAATTGGTAGGGACACTCTAGAAAGTTCATACCTGGGGGGACTTTTCTGCCAGTTTGGGGCATGATAGTGCCCAGGTTTGCCTCAAAGTGTTTCGCATATCGCCACTTTCTCTTGGAGTATGTATGTCGTACAGCGAAAGTACATATTCCCTTGGCATTTGTTGTAAGCATTCCTTTTGCCATACAATCTCTAGATGGGAGGAGTATGGAGGAGCAACAGATGTTCCAGATGCTTGATTGGCCCACGCCCGCCGCTACAGCACGAAGTAGATAAAGGATGATAGAGGTCTTGATGGAATATCGCAAGGTTTTGGGCAGTCATGACGGAATGTCCCAAGGTTTTAGACTCCATGTTCATGCTGTTGTTGTTTCTTGCTTTCCCACTTAGGATGTTTGTCTGCAGAAGGCTGACTATATACAGCATACTTCAAGACTTAAAACTTGCCACTAATTAGTCAGCATGCTGATTTTCCCTTTCAGAGGACTGTATAGAAATTCTGCACATATGGAAATTGGATGTGGCTCAAGAAAGAGAGACCCAGATCCGCTGGTGTTAGTTCATGTTGCCTTTCACTACTGGGTTTGGACGGTGCCATTTGTTTGAAACATGCCCAAGTAGATGAACACACATGCCCCATGTCCACTTGCAGAGCCACGGCTCTTGGATTCTTTTAGTGAGATCTGAGCAAATCCAAGGTCTCCTCAAGAACCAATCCATCAACCTTGCCAAGATCTTAGACAACCATACGCTCTGAGGGGGCGTTTGACAGCACTGCACTGGAGTAGAAAAGCTGTTGAGTTACTTCGCTGCTGCCGTTCTGGTGATGCATTCAGAAAGATCTGGCCTTTGACCTCGGACCCTGGTTGTAAGTTGCCGAAATGACGAGCTTCACTGGATCATGTCAATCAAAGTGTCGTGCCCCAGGTGGCCACCAGCGCATCAGATCCCGCTTCCGAGGTTGCACAGAATGATAGGACTTTTAGATGACCCCCAGAGTTCTGTAGAATCAAAGATTGTTCCATGCATTGTCGGAACGACTTTTGGAGTTGAGACCTTTTTTGCATGTGCGATGCACCAAACACAGCAGTTACAGAATGACTTACCTTACTCTCTGGTTGAACATGATACCTGGCAACATGCTGCAGCCATTGCTGGCACAACATCAACTCCTTAGGCCTTTCCACCAGGGCCAAAGAAGGTCCTGGATTCTTACATGTTCATGTCCGTTTGAGTAAGCCAACGAACTGGCTCGCCCACTGAGCCAGCGATGCGACCATGGGCATTGGTGCTTTTGTTGGGGTGTTTGTCCAGTATCAAGGGTCATCGGCAAACAGAAAGCATGTTGGCGCTCACGGAGGATTCACCAGAGAGGTTCGATCGAGGTGAGAAGGAGGAGGAGGTGAAGAGTAAGATCTCGAATTCCCTTGAGAGTGTGAGTGCTGCAGAGCCGATGGGAGCAGATCAAGAAGGAGTCAAGTCAACAACACAAGCAGGACCTACTCAAGACAGAAAACGAGACCTGTGGCTTGCGTCGGAGAGAGTTATCCATATGCAACCTGGCCGGATAGGCTGTTGGCTTGACCTGAGCACCGGTATGATTCGAAAGGTCTATGAAGGGACACAGGCTGAAGGCCTTGGCCTTGAAGTGTTCGACTACATCACCAAAGTTGGATCTGCCAAGTTTAGCACCGCAGCTTTGGAAAACGCTATGCACGGGTCAAAAGACTTTGATGTGACAGTGGAAAAGCCTTCTGAAGTGGTCTGGGTTGTGCAATGTTGTCTTTGGTGCTTGTACAGACCTGCAGGAGCGGTGGGTTGTTTGCTTTTGCTCGGCTTGCCTTACATAATCTATCGAGGCCTCCTGTTTGGACTGGATTTGGACAGTAAGACACTGTTGCACCCGGCAGTGCGTCTTGTGGTCTGCGCAAGTGTTGCCTATGCTTTGGGGAAACTTGGCTGGTTGCTCCTAGACTGGTGCTATTCAGGTCTTGGGTACAAGATCAGATTAGCTTCAAAAGCAGCAGGTATTCTGGGGCTGGTGATGGGTTGGCTGCTCAATCTCTCCAATCCTTTGCTGAACGTGAGGCTCCGCAGCGACAGCATTAAGGTGCTGAGGATGTCCAACGTGAGTGCCTTACTATGTTGTTGCACGTTTAGTTTGTTTCGAGGCACAGAGGTAGCGTGTCGGTTTTGTCCACGCAGCATAGAAGAAGCCAAGAGAACGTCTTTGGGAGCGACCTTCTTGGATGTTCTTTATGACATTTCAGATATCCCGCATGCATTCCTAGTCCTCGGATTCACCTGTCTCACTTCACAAATTTGCATGGCAGCACAACAGAGAATGGTTGAGGTAAGTGAAGGGCTTCCTTGCGAACCAACACAATTTACAGAGTGTGTGCACAAACCCTGTGCCGAGCTGCTGCGTGACATTCCTGCAAACTTGGGTCCCATTGGACTGCCCATCCTGCTCGTGATTTGTGACATGTTGCCCGCATGCTTGCGATTCTACAACGAGTCGATGCTCCTGTACGCGTCCAAGATCACCCGCGGGTTGCCAGAGTACTGGTGCGACGTTGCGTGCAATGCCTTTGTGCTTGCAGGCTGTACACTCGCTGTGGCCGTGGGACCTCTTCAGCTCTCCCGGGGCCTCCGAGTGTTCGAGCATCAACTAACGAATGCACGACGTTTGGACAGCAACATGAACCTGCAAGTCGAGGCGGTGGAAGCTATGCTGGCACAGGTGTGGCGGGAAGTACATCCTCTTGCCCATGATGACTTCCTTGCCGGTTCGCAACACGCATGTACGCTTCATGTAGGTACTGTAAGTCCATGCTAAGTAGAATGGTATTGAATAGGTTTGTTATTGAATAGGTTTGTCCTATTATTACCTGTAACAGTCAGTAAACAATTATCACTTGACTAACCCTCATCATCCGTATTACTGGAAATAGGATATACACAAGGTATTGATTGGTATATCTCTTTTGAACAGCTACGTTCGTAACTCCTGAAGGTCTCGTGCGAACTGGATTCTTTTTATGCAGCTGTGTTACTGCTGCGTTCCATTTGTTTGCAACCCCTTGGTCATATTTTTGTCATATTTGGGGTGTGCGGTTGGTAGATGGTCGCTGAAGCGGGCTCAGGACAGGAAGGGAATTCAGAATGCAATGGACGTTATGCCAAAACTTGTGTCCTGCCAGACTGCCAAACTGCTGGTTTGCTGATCTACTTTCTTTTCCATGGTGCACGTTCAACTAAAAAGGTTCCGTGGGTGCAAACATAGACACTCAAAGGGAGGTGTGAGGTAAGCAACGGAGCTCCTAGCTGCTTTTGACTGACTATCCATGCCCCTAGAAGTTATCAATGGTACGAGGTTTGTTCACCTGAACATGTTGGCAGACGCCAGGTGAACGATGGGAAAGGCTGGGGGATTCCCGTCTTCGAGGGCTTTGTCCTGACCAAGTCAGTCATGCAGACTCTGTGCCTGCGCCTCCTGCTCGCTGGCACTGTAATCAAGGCTTTCCTTGACACAGAGCTTGGCTTTCACCAGGACTGGAACTATTGACAGGGCAAGGTCTACCTTTTGCTGCAGTTCTTTCGTTTTTGCAGGTGCTTTAGATATCTTTAGATAGCATTGGTTGATCGTATATCGCGTGCAACCAGTGAGGAGATGTCGCTCTTACTTGGTACACACTGGATCATGTAAGCCTGTAATCCAAGGTCCCCACATTGTAGGTCGGCACCTTTTGCTTGAACGCCTGAAGCCGTACTCCTACTCCTACTTGTAAATACTCGATACGTCGATACTCCAAGTTTTTCTCTGTGGCTGAATAAAATCAAAAGGGTAGGCGAGATAAAGAGAGCTTGTTGGTGTCTACTCCGCACCCTGTGTTTCGCCAGTTAATTGCAAGAGTCCTTTGGTTCTTGATCATGATCAGGAAGAGAAGGAGCGATCGAACATCCAGCTGGCAGCAATTGTGGACGGCTTGCGCAACATGACCAGTCTCTCGCACTTGCATCAGACCATTCGTTGGATAGCCGCAGCAGTCAACAACGAAAGATCATAGTCTGACTCCAAAGGGTCCCAGTTGTTATACGATCTAAATGATTTTGTGCATGCTTTCAATTAAACATGTCAATTCAACAGCTGCTGCGTGCTGCGTTTGGATTGACATGGGGGGCCCAGAAGGATGTCTTCGTCTCATGCATCGGAACACCATCGGAAACGACCGTTCACCGTTTGTGGATCGGGTTCCACATGCTCAGGTCCACGTCACATAGTTCGGTAGGACCGTTCGCACATCGTTCATGAAAATGTTTTCAGAAAGCTTAGATGTCCTTCCAGCTTGTTTAGGGACGGTCATACAGCAGGAGTTCAAAGAAAGGTCTTCTCATGACCCCTTGGTTCCGCCCAAGTCCGCACCAGTCCATCCGCGCGGAAATCTGGGAACGATCCGAACGACTTCCACCCGGTAAAGAGTCCCGAACGAACTATTCCCTGTTTCTTCGGTCCTGTCTTCCCCAGTGTTCATTCCGAACGAATGGTGACCCAGTTTTCCGCGCCGCAGAAGTTCATCCGGGTAGACCAATCACAAATCGGTCGAAGAAAGACTCGCTACTCGGAACTGGATGATGGTCTATTTGGCAATGTCACTCAAGTGTCACAAGTATAATCAAGTATATAAAAATTCTGAGTAGACACAACAATATGAGGGATGTCAATACAAATGGGAAAGTTGAACAGCAATGTCAATGTCCTATAGTGCCTCTTGCTTCAACTCCACAGTGAATGCCTTCTACTGCAGTAGTTTGATCCCACTATTCTTTACGCAAAAACAAGTCCTTTCAGGCCACAAAGCCTAGACCTTTGAATCCAGAATGCAACCAAGACACAAATGTGTGCTTTGATGCAGCCTTTGGTTCACCAGCGGCCTGAACTACAACCACAACTAGATGGATTTGTTCTTCACGCCGCGTCACAACGTTTCTTCTTGCGATGGGGGGAGACTTTCTGGCCCCCCAGATGTCTGGACATGCATATACGAAGCCTCTCATAAGAGGTTGACCTTCGTTGCGAATCCAAGGTTTCTTCCAGAACCAGTCGACCTCGTTCCTCACAAATCTGGAGAATCCGACTTCCTGATCGACAGTCGTCGTCGAAAAAGGAAGTCGACAGCTGCTGATTCGGATGTTGTGGGGAAATCCTTTTGCCGTGCCGTCCAGTCCTTCCAGAAGTTCTTCCAGAACACAGGTGGCTAAGAAGGTCTCCACACAAATGAGGGTTTGATTGCCATAAGTAGGCTCAGCGTGGACTCGTATGTGTGAGAGACTGACACAATTGTTGTTGGAACGGGTGTTGAAGGCGGAAATTCTGCCACACCTGAATGAAATCTACAAAACCACTACTTAATTTAGCAGTGAAATATTCACCATTTCATGTAGTGCCTTATTTCTTCCCTTCTTCCACGGAGGGGTGTGCACCCTCCTTGCAAGTGTTTACCCCGTGTCCAGCTGCAGCACATCATCACACATGTGGTTTCAGTGTCCCTCCGCCAGGCGCAAAAAGCCAAGAAGTCATTGAAGAGGCGCCGTCGGGGCGTTGTCGGTCACTGCATGTGGTCAGCATGCGACAAAGCTGCCATGATGGGAATGTGAGCTTCGATACTCAAGGCCGCAAGATCCAACAAGCTTGGTTTGAACAAGGACGTTGTTGACCATTTGGAAGCATGTTATACTCAAAACCCTGCGAAGGAACTGGTTGCACATGCTTGACATGGTCTGACAGTCATGGGTCTTCTCCATGGTCTGACACAACCACTGTTCTGGGAGGTCACACGGCTGGGGTTTCTTTGGGGTCCGGACGATGCATTCGGCATTTGTCCTTCAACAGTATCTCAGAAGAAGTTTCATTCACTTAAGACTCCATCTTCAGTTGATGCTTCATTCACTTAGCACATCTTGACACTCCAACACACTCCAACTCTTCACTCAACTTACCTTGTTGCGAGCATCTCCTTAGACATCGGAGAGCTCGTGACAGAGCCAGCGGTCGGTCCTTGGAGCGTTTGTTCGTGTCGAAAAATGGAGGGTCCCTGGAGCGAGTTGTCACATGCGTCTGTCACATGTAGGGTCTGTCCCACGAAACCTCGAACATCCTGGAACAGTCGGACGATTCCCAACCAATATCACTCGTTTTGGAGATGGACAGGCCTGGCGCGACGATGGAAAGGCATCCATCATCCACTGGGTGGTGGGGATACCCCCAAAGATCCATGCGACCACATCTTGCTGTTTTGGAGAAGCATCGACCACCTCCGAAACGGATTGACTTGCAGCACCAGTGCTTGGTTGACTTGCTTTTTGGTGGCCAGCCGCCAGTCTTGCTGAGGTTCTTCCGGGCTAGGATTATATACCTCCCAAGTCTGCATGCCGAAGACTTCATACCCAGTCTGCGTGCCTCGTGAGGCTCTGATGGCACTCCTTGACGGAGAGCCCCTCGTTCCTCTACGGCGCTGGAGCAGGGTGACGGATTGTTGACCTGGATGGGTTGGTCTCCAATTGGTTGAGGAATCAGGAAGAATGGAGATGATCCAGATATTGAACGAGGCTGAGGGCCAACGGGTCTTTCTGGGAAATGAAGGTTTCTATCAATGGAGCCAAACTAGCTGGTCACCAAGATCGCTGAGAGATGCAGCTTCTTTCAATGTACTTTAAGCATGTTTAAGCCTCATCTATATAATAAATATGTAAAACGTATCACAAGATTGTACAATATAGCCTTCTACGCTGTATATGTGAGTCATTCTTGCACAAGAGAAGATACAGATACCCACCCACATGACGATTTGTTGCTGTCGCCAAACTCCCAGGCTTCTCTAGCTTCGCAGCGCGCCCGTCGCCCGCCGTCGCCTGAGGTGAATCGAAGGGGCGTTCAAGAAGACCGGTGATGAATGTCGTCCGTGCAGAACGGCCATGGTCATGGAAGAACCACGAAAAGAGAAGAGAAAAGACGGAAAGTATAGTCATCCTGAATATCCAGAGTAGATAAAAGTAAAAGTCATAAAATGCAACTGTCGTCAGATTCTTGTGTGTGTGTGCATGTGTTTGTGATGTTTCCAACGTCCTACATATATATATATATATACATATATTGAATATATATATATATATACCTAGACCCCGCAAAAGACGTATTTTTTTCTGGTGAGGGCAATTTTCAGGCGAAGCTCAAAAAACCCACACAACAAACAGTTTTGGTGTCGATTTTTGTCACTTCTGCGTTGTTTTTTGTCACTTCTGCGTCATTTTGGCGTCATGTTTTCTATCGCGAATTTGCTGCATGTTTTTGCGTCATGTTTTCTGGCGAGACGGAAAAAAAGACATCGTTTCAGGGTCCAGGTATATATATTGGAGTCATTTTTTGCAAGAGGATGACTATCCTCATGTTGGCTTGCATCTCACTTAGTCTCACTTGTTCAAGAGGACTTGTGTACTACTGTACTACCTCTTTGACTACAATGTGTTCCGGCCACTTCAAGAGGATTGAGCAAGCAGATTAGAGAAGTTCTGATTTGAAGTCCTCAGGACTCAAACGTGTTGATCCCATCAGACGAATGAGACCTAACATGTTGATCAAACGGTCAGTTTTCTGCAGTCGGCTGGAGCAACGGCTGCAGTTGAGGGATCAGAAAAAGCTTTCATTGTTCCATACAGAAAAAAAGCAAACAACAACTTCACCGCCACGGTCGCGCCTCATTCGAGCTGTGTTGGCTGGGCTGAAGATTGGAGGTGAAGTCACAGCAAGCCTCGTTGCATGCAACAACACCTTCAGAACACATGAAACTATCCATATCCCTTTGGGAGTTTACCAACCGCCCTGCTTGGTTGGGGTGATATGTCGCCGGTGCATAGTCGTCACATGGTTGGTAACGCCGAAGAATTGGTCTCCGCAACATCCAGCGACCACCAAACTGGGTCACTTCTCAGGTCGTAAGTCTCACGTCCAAGTGGTGAAGTGCATCTTATTCTGAAGCTGCAACTTAGGATTGGGATATAACTTTTTCTTCAGTCCCGCGTTTGCTGGATTTTCCTGGTCTCTATATTGGTAGCAGGAGGTTGTATGCCACATAATTGTACATGTATATAATTATATGATATAATTATATACATTGGATTGGTAGTGTATATCACTGTGTCGCTTCACATACCGTGTACATATTGCTGGAAAATGAACACTACCATCTCTTGCCGCCACTCAGCGCAGTTCCAACTTTTCCACATGGGCGACGGGTGACGGATATTTGCCTCCGATCTGGACGCCGCCTTCGACGGCTAACCTTCCTTCGATGCCCATCGCGAAGAGAGAAAACACGAAGGGATGGTGAGGGACGATTGGTCTACATGACGACATGACGTCGACACAGTCGATGGACGATTGGTCTACATCCCTCATGACTCTCTTTGGAGACAGCGAGCCTGGTCGAGATGAGAGAAACTTGTCACCAGGAGATCAACATCTTAGATTGGAGATCAACCCAGCTTTGATCCTCCGAACATTGAGGAATTTGAGGCGTCCAGGCGCGCCAAGCTATTGGACGTCCGAGTATTGTCATTGTGCAACCTCCCAGCACCGAACCACCAGCCAAATGCTACGGTCCCCCTAGAGTTTGACTGGTAAGTTCCGTTGGCAGCCTGCAGATGTTTTTGGAGTGAAAGACTACGTACTTGAGCGAAATCTCTAGCTGACAACTGTTCTGCAGTGATCAGAATCGAGTTCTGCAAGGAATGAGCTGCAGCTCGTTTGAATGATTGAAAACTGCGCGAGGATGTTTGGTCCATGCTACTTGTGGTCCATGGTTCCTGGGGAGGCATGGATTTCAAGAATGGCTGAACTTCTTTTCAAAGCTTTTAACGAGGCCAAGTCCTTGCTAACGAAGCTAAATCATGATCATCCCTCACAAAGCAAGGTTCTGGAGGATGAAGTCGCTGTTGGGCATCAAGGTATGAATGACTTTGAGATGTGCATCCCAGGTGAGAGAAAGCCACATCAAGTTTCATTAGGCCAGGGTCTGACACTGCGGACATTGCATCAGTCAGCCTTTGTTCGAGTACCAGCGTTGCCATCACCCACGGATGCCAGTTTTTGTTTTGTGTTTTTTTGCAAGTGTCCCACACATCTTAATTTATTGTCCTATAGGACCTAGAAGTTTTCGACACAGTCATTCCAAGCGCTAGCCACCAAGTGTGGACACGTGAATGGCGTTCATTGTCACTTGGGATGCGCACGTCGCAAACTCCACGTTACTGAGATTCCTTGACACCTCCGCGACCGACCGCCTGCGATGGTTCCAACGAAGCAGCAAGCGGCTTCTTGTGGAAGGATGAGATGTGATAGATGGCTGACTCGCTATTGGAAATTGATGGGCAGAAAGATTGACCAGACGCACAAAGATTGATGGGTTTGAGAGTTTAGGACAGACACGTTTGTTTACCTGACCCATTCATGTTGTTTGTTTTTGAATTTGCAAAGTCTTGGGTTGCACAGTTGTTCAAGGACAAGCTGGTTGCAAAGAAACGCCTTGTAGAGGATCATTCCTGGTTCCTGAGTGGCTTAACCTGACCCAACTGCGCCAGCCCACGGATCTCTACCAGCCGAACCGGCGGAACCTGCGGAGCCAATTCGCTGAATTCAACCGCCCCCGGGCACGCCGCCGCCGTCTACCCGGCAGCGACGGGTCGTAAGGGACGTGCATGGACGGGGCTTCTCGAATGAGCAAGTCATGCCCAGCATATTAAGGATTAAGGAGCGCTAGTAGGTTGGAGGCCATGGCTACTAGGTCGGAGGCCATTGCTATTAGGATTGGCAAAGGCTGCTCAACACCTCAGTGTCGCAAAGGTCGTGTTGGGGACAGGGGTCATTCTTCTAAGGCAGACATGAAGTTCTGAACAGTAGACGCAGGAGAACTCCATTGAATGCATTGAATACCACGTCTCATGACACTTGCAAAACCAAGCTGGTTGAATCCACTGTGCAGAAAGAAGTTCCCATTGGTCGGACCTGGGTCAGGGGTTCCCTGGGGTGAACCGATGGGTCTTCCGAGAAGGCTTCGGGCTAGTGAACTGTTCATCCAAGAACCGGCGTGAACTGATCAGAGTGAACCTGGGTGAAGCGTGAAACAAATACCAGCAAGTGTTGGTAAACACTTCCCAATATTCTGTGTAGTTTCTGTGGAAGGTCCAGTACATGGTGCATCAAACAACCGATCCGCAAGGCAAAGTTCGGGGGGTCCCAAACTAGCCTTCGTTGAACAATCAAATTATCAACTTCCTTAAGTCTTAAAGAACAGACAAATGGTAATAAACATGTTGAGGATTTTTTTTTTCCACGAGTACGGACGCCGTGTGGGCATGGTGCCCAGGTCATCGATAAACATGTTGAGGAAATAAATCAGATCATCAAAACACGGTCTCTGAGTCTCCTCACAACTCACGCAGCCTCGTGACATGGAACGCTCCGAATCCAGCACCACCCGGATGCTCCGAAAGTCCTGTCAATCATGGAACGCCCAGCCGAACTGGGCACGTCGCCTCGTCGCGTCCGCGGGACAGACCGAGGTCGTCAGCTGGGTTCACCTCCGAACAGGGGGGGTTTGAAGCAATGGATGTCCCAGGATATATAGAATTTTGATAGAATTTACCTTAAAGGTAGAGGCGATCGCCAAGCGGCTGCGTCGAGGAAGGTGATCTCGATGATGTGCAGAGCATAGAACACATGGTCAATAAAGGAAGTGACCATGGACAGACCGATTCCTTTCGGTATTCTCCTGGTTGAAGGGTTTCTTTTGTTGTACTTCTCAGATGAGTTTGGGATGGGTGAACTCCACTGCAGGACATGGCCAGCTGGAAAAGTGCTTCACAACGTGACCGTGAAAACTGGGGTGACGAAGTGTCAACAGCTTGGGAAGTCCACGGCTGTGTCAACAGCTTCAAAGATCATTTTCCAAAGCCTGCTGAGGTAGAGGACCACCGTTTTCCAAATCCAACAGGTGAAACAAACAACTCCCCTTCAAAGGAATTGAGAATGGATATCGGATAGAGGACAGAAACCTAGAGGGTGAATTTGGCACTGCACACGGCAGTGGTTTTGATTTCCGTTCCATATGCTTCTATCAGGACCATCCTGTTTGGGTGTCCAATGGACTACCTTACACTACTTAGAGATGTCCCAATGGATGGTCCTGGATGTCCTGATACAAGAACATGCCCTTCAATATAATCATAACACGCCGAACTTGACACAGCCGAATGTGCTTTTGTTGGGCACAGCAGGCACAGCCATGTTTGTCATGTGTTTGTTTTGTGTGCTTTGTTTTGGGTGCTTTAAAGTCTTTAACAAACATTATCAATAACTATACCATGATCATCCATATAATTACCTGCTCATGTGCAGGAAAATAGATGGGACACCTCTTCTCCCCATTGGAACCCATCGACGGCCACGCGGTGGAAAAAGTCTGCTCCTCTGCGGAAGTTTCTGGGGTCCCGGAGGAGCTGAGGAGTAACAGGACCAGGAGAGGTATAGGTACAAAGAATGGTGAGATCATGCCTTCACTGTAAGGCAAGTTGCAAGGCATCATGGAATGGTTCGTCGATTTTGAGGGACTGATATAATGTGATGTGTAGGCTGTACTGTAGGTTTTTTGCTTTGGCTGATCTAGGCTGCAACTCTACTGTAGGTTGAGGGGCTGATTCCTATTTGAAGTGTTCTTGCGCAGTTTGGTCCAAAAGTAATCGAACACAGGATTCAATGCATCATTACAGTGAGGTCGGGTTTGACTGATGCCCAAATTAGGCAGCACAGGATGGAGGAAGCCGTGAGAAGAGCTTTCTTGGTTCTTTGCGCACTTCTGTGTTTGAATATATGTCAGATATGTTCAGATCTAGATTTAGATCCAGAGATTGTCCATGACATCTAAGGATTTATGTCAACTTCTAGGGATTCCTAGTGTATTTTCTGTGTTCTATCATATGGTTCGGATTTGCACTCAAATCTGTAGCATTCCTGTAGCCTGGCAGTGCTTTCCGAGACTTGGGCCCTAGTGCTTGTTTTCAGATGGTGGTTTAATGTCCAAGTGTGGTGGTTTCATGTGATTTATATGTGGTTTATATGGTTTATCCATCTAAAGGACATCTTGGGGGAAACGTGCCATCTACTCTAATCTACTCGGAAACCACTGTAAGCACCAACAGCCGGAGATTACAAGGAGATATCTGAGCCAGATCCCGAGTGACGGCGAAGTGGTACGATCCAAGCGTTGTTCGTTGGGTGAAGCTGCCCGAAACCAAGAGAAGCCATGTTTGAACCATGAACACCTCCATGTTTGTGCCTCACTTACCAGTTGGACGAATGATCCTTCAACTGAGGTAATACATTTGTTTGTGAGCACATGTCAACCCACAAGAGATGTGTAAGGATTTGTCTCTATCAATAATTGAACACAAAAAATATACATGTATATCATCTCTCTATAAGTCTAGTTGTTTAATCATCTAGCAAATCACTTTAGCCTTGCAGCGGTCTTCCTAAAAAGGAAGTGTACGAGCTTTGACAAATAAACATACAGTGTCAGATTGCTCGGTGGGACGTTCCACGCAACGAGTCTTCTCCAAATGGGGCGAAGCCACGTCAAGTCTCTTTGCTACGCGCGCTTCAACGGGACCCCTTTGCTCGCCCGCTTGCCACGTCGAATTGTGAGAAACCGCACGTGCAGAGGCGAGTGCAGCGAGAAACCGCTGCCACGCATGGTCAGCCAAGAGTTCGTGAAAGTAAAGGCAGCAGCACTAGCAGCTGTAGCAGCAGCATCAATGGGTAGAAGCTAAGCCTGTGAGAGAGCAACACCTAGAAACCAAGACTCTGGGATCCCAAAGGGACTGCAGGGAGGTATGCATTGAAAATACTTGTTTTTCTTCGCGATAGTTTTGTTTGACCTTTGTGTTTCTATATCCCCCCAGAAAGGCTCAAGCGTGACTTTTTTGTCCTCAAGCAGCGTCCTCCAGTTGATTTTTTCTCTTATGGCCCCCTGATGCTGACCATTCGACCGTTTGATTTCCTGGGACCGTGGGCCGAAGCGAAGCTCTATTGATGTTTCAATCAATGGGTCCAGTTTCAATACATCCCGGTGCGCCCGCGCGCACGTAAACGCGCCTTTGTATGGCACTGTTGTTCAAGTGCTCAATGCTTCTTCAATCTGGGATGCTCTACACTTTTTGTTTTACTTACATTGTGGCATTCCATTGCTTATGGGTGTTTTACCTTTTTCTTAGAGACGGACACCGCAAGTTCGTTGTACCGCTTCTTAGGGAAGTCAACACGCCGTCTGATCCAGGTGTCAATCCATTGGACCAAGTACTGGGTGAGCATGTGTGTTGGACATTCCGTTTAATTGTGTAGATACTCCTTATTACTATAGCGACACTTATTGCCGTATGATCTTGATGAGCCATGATGGCAAAAGAAACTCGGTTTTCATTGGGAGTTCAAAGTACAGTTTTTGCCTTTTGGTGCTTGCAGCACATGGTTTAACGTTCAAAAAAGATCTGAGCAGAAGCTCATTTATACATCTGTGATGTGCTTAAAAGATGGCACTTGGCACATGGGCTGTGGTCATGTGGGTGGTGTTGAAGCAATTCGACATGCGCTTGAATCACCCAATGGTAAGTCACATGTGGACCCGGTCCACGGTCCACTCCTGCCGCTCACGCTCAACGCTCGCACACGCTCTGTGCCGAGCACCGCACGAGCTCAGCTGCCAATTCGCTGCGCAGCGCGTCGTTCGCCGCCGGGGTTTTGTCCGGGAAGCCCAGGTGGAGAGATGGGGAGAAATGGGGGTGGTACGCAGTGAGAGAGGGGGGAAGGTGGTTGTTTTTGGGACATCCGAAGGCCAGGAAGAGGGAGATGGGGCGAAGCAGGAGCCAGGTCACCTGGGCAAACTCACTTAGTCTTGTTTGTTTCTCACCAGGGAAATCGAGCGGGAAGAACTCTATGGGATGAGGACGAATAGATGGTCCACCCTACCGGGAAGGCCTAGTTAGTCACCGAGTTTGTCGCTTACCCAGGCCCGTTCTGCTCAATTGCTGAGAAAGGCTGTTGCTCATTGCTCAGAACAATCTCAAGTTCGAAACGTTCGATTTAAATCTTTCTGGCTATCCTGGCTCTATGTCCCTAGTTGGGGGGTGTTGAGCACCACATATCAATTGCTTTGCACCCCCATGAATCCTCAATGAATTCCACACTTGTTGATGTTCAAACTGGAAGTCGAAAGGAAATACTTTCTTTGATCAAGTCGTAGCCTTTTGATTTAGCCACTTGAGCCTATAGGCGGTGGACCTCGTCTTGAGTTCACATAGGTTTCCCTTTTCGGATCCTTTTTTCTTCCAACGCGCCGTCCGCGCCGCCATCCGCGCCGAGCACCGGGAACCCCGCGTCGACCTCCTGAGGTCCCTGCCGTGCGAGTCGTCGTCGCGCCGCTGTGCTCGGTCCGCGCCGAAAAGGACGACGACGGACGCACCGGGACCGGTCGGACGCGACGGGTCTTCGGGAGTGACCGTCCGGGAGTGACGGTTTGGGTCATGGGGGGGTGGAGAAGGAACCGGTAAGACACAGCTGTTTTTTAGAGTGGGTAAAGGATGATCACTATGATTGAACCAGCCCTGCAGCTGAACCAGCGGAAATCCACTGGTACTGACCATGGGAAATAATTAGACCTAAAACATTGGCTTCATTGGCTTTTGCATCTTTTGCAGCCAGAAGGATGCAGTTGTGGACCCATCCATGGACCCCAATTGGGCAGATGTTAATGACGATCGGCAAGTGAAGTGCTTTTTGTTATACTTTTGCTTGTTGGGAGCAGGAATCCCTACCGCCGGAAGAAGCGGCTCGAAGCGACTCAAAACCTTTGAGTGGGATGGATGAGGGCTGTTGAACTGAATTGAGGGTAGAGTAGTGTAGAAGAAAGACATGGGCACATCCTGGATCAGCTGGAGAAGGTCCCACATGAAATCTCCAGTATCAATGGCACATCCTTGAAGTGTTGTCAGTCTGTTGAAGGACTAGGTTTTCAGCGACAGCACTGCACGGTCCAAATTTTTGATAAATAAATAAGGCGCCTGAGGGGGTTGCGCACATGCACACACGCACACATACTTTGGTTTGTTGATGAAACTCCGCTGAACATTGCCCCGCAGTCGCTGTTCCAACCACTGGCTCAAGGGACGGCGCCATGCTCGATGGAGGTGCAGCCACTGAGAGGCGCGCCAAGCGGAGGGGGTTATTTTGGGGACTGTTGAAAAGGACCTCTCTACTTGACTGGTTGGTTTCATTCCCTCTAGCTCACGGACAAGGAGGGAGGGATTGTCTAAACCCGTGGATGAAAGAAGCCAAGAAATTACAATGGCTCCATGGATGGTCTGGCCGCCCAAGCGCTCGTTTCGGAGCGTTTTCGACCATCGACAAGGTGTGAACCCCACTTGAATCTCATTCAGGTTTACATCCCCAATGAACCCCTTCTGACCACTGAGCTTCTGGTCCCTTGGGCATTTGTTCTTTGGTAAGAAAGCTAATGGTGAATGTCGATCCTAAAGCACGTTAATATTGTGCATAGTCTGTGATTGGTGTGGTAATATATTGTAATTTATGGTAATCCAAAAAAGCTACTGTAAAGTCTTGGTGTCCTGAAGGTTTACAGTATTTCTCTTGAGGCCCTAACCTAGAGAATCAACAATAGGATTGTTCTTCCTTCACGCAGCTGGGTGGCCAGAGTCAACAGGAACTGCTTCTTCCATTCCTCGGGCGGTATCATAAGTATCACAAGTACTCCAAAGATGTTGGTGTTTACAAGTGAATCTTGAGAGACAAACACACTAGGACCTAGGATGGCCACCCAAAGCTACCAATGCCCTTCAAGATCTTCAAGCAGGCGCTCGGTCTTTGCCTGGTAGCCCACGCACGAGCAGGCAACGCTGGTGGGGAGCTTGCATGGTGGGTGCTAGTCTCCGCGTTCTTCCAATATGTGCTTAGTGATGGGCTTGATGGCTGAGATCTCCAGAGTAGATCTTCATCCCGGAGCCTTTGGATCATTGGGCTGAATCGCTTTCACCCCTCCTCGATGTTCAGTTTCCGGAATCAAATGGTTAGTTGGGTTCCACTACGGTTGCTTCCTGTTTTTGTTCCATGAAAGCTGGGTGTTTGGCACTCCCCATGTACCCCGACATCTGTCGAAACTGAGCATGATGGATTTACAACGAAAATGGCCTGCATGATCGTATGGGAGAGCATAAACTGGACCCTATTCAGAGCTGTGGCCCATTATTTCACAGCCCGTACACACAACCAAAGCTTCAAACCACTTCAAAAGAGGGACACTTCAACCCACTAAGAAAACACTAGGGGCCACTTCGCACCATCTTCCCAAGATACCCACTATATTGCTATTCAAATGCGATGGCGTTTTTCCTTGTTGTGTTCGCCACCACCGACAGGTCGCCGGACACCTCCCTGGCCCGGCAGATTCGCCGCGCGGCGCTGCGCGCCGAGGCCGAGGCGTCACGGGAGAGAGTGGACGGTCTCACCGGTGTGGCGGTGACGCGGTGGCGCTCTGGAGGATGCAAGAAGATGCAAGAAGTGAAAGTGACCTGATCAAAAGGGACCCGTAACCCTGGGGTAGCAGTCTCTCTCTCTATATATAGAGAGAGAGATATGGTTGGAGGGACAGTCGAAGGGGGGTCGGGTCCTTCAACCTTTGGATGTGGTGGTGGCCGACTCGAAGATGAAGTAAACATACACCACTAAGAAGTGAGGTGCTTTGCGCAGGGGATAGTCGTAACCAAAACCTTTTTGGTGCTAAGTGACCCTTTACTGGCCTAAGTAACCTCATCCTGGGATATCAAAAGGTCACTTTGAAGGTCCTGACACTTGTGAAGGGGCAGTGTGCAAGCCATGGCGCAATGGTTTGGCGTACCAACTTTACACAAGGGGGTACGACAGGCAACAAGTTGTACCAGAATATTGAGGGCACAGGGCCAAAACCAAGATTCATCGAAATATTATATACCAGTCAGTGAAAAGCCATATAAACCAGGGTGGTTATGGACCACCCTCGGGGTGCACAGAATAGATGTTTTCTCAAGGCACATCAGATCGTCTAAATCATCGTGGGAACCTGATCTGTTTCCTGTGTCGAGGTGTTCTTGACAGCTCAAGCGTGTGGCTTGACCCATGTTTGAATTCTGGATCTTGCAAAACAAGAGGTCTTGCAAAGCAAACAATGAATTATGAAACACCAGTGCAAAGCATATAAATCCACCCTTTAAGCCTTTACAGTCACTGCACACAGGGAAAACGAACGGGAAACCTGCCATGAGCAAGGGACCAGCCTTGAGACAGCGCCAAAGATAGATAGAGACCCATGCAACTCGTAGAGAATTGATCCATTCGGGCCCTCCAGACGGATTGCCGACGCCAGACGGATTGGCGTTGTCATCCAAACGTCCAACGATGCGACCATCGCGAGAGACGAAGAGCGAAGGAGGTCCCATGACACTATGTGGCAGGTCTCATGAGGTCTCATGACGTCCCATGTCCTTGGTCGTTTGTGCCATTGGTACGTCGTGTGCCCCGTTCATGGCTGGACGGACCCGTGCAGGAACGGAGCCCGTCTCACCCGGACCGTTGAGAGCCGTGCAGGAGGTGTCGACGCAGCGGCACCAGCTGCAGGAGGAGTTGTCGACGCTGAAGAGATGGATGGTCGAGCAGCGTGAGGAGCAGGCGTGGATGGTGTCGACGCTGGTCACTCAAGAGAATTAGCATGCTATAGCCGTGCTACGTATTATATATAGTCATATAGTTGTGCTGAGGGCACAGGCGAGCAAACAAAATGTCAAAAGATGGTCAACGTGGCCACAGTCATGATTCATTGGACCCAAACAACCGACCAATTGTTTTGGGCAGGTGCCGTTTCCATGTGTGTGTCACCGTGTCAACGACCAGTTATTGCCGCAAAGCCAGCTCTGACTTTTTGGTTCATCCATACTACATCATCTACATCCATGTGTTTGACGCTTTGCAAGAAAACTCTCACCCCAACTCCACACTCTTTCCCCAAATGGAGCACATAGGGCCGCGCACTCGCGCGCTCGCGCACAGGCCCAAGGCCTTACAGAGCTGCGGGAGCTGCGAGGCACCTTGCACGGCCGGGAGACCGAAGAGAGGAGTCACGAAAGGGGTGACGGAGTTCGACCGAAGCTTGTGGGATGGAACAAGGCCACGTTTGGATGAATAGAGCTAGGCTGGCATAGTCATGGTGAAAAGCTGTTCTGAGGAGTGCAGAGGTTGGAGGTGCTCGATGCGGCATATTAGACAAAAATTGGATGCTATCGCCGTGCGGCTGGACCATGCGGGCAAGGCACAGATTCGTCGCGGCCGGCGCCGGTGCCATGTCCGCAGCCTTTGGAATCACACATGCAGCACTTTGTATCACTTCTCCAACCGAATCATGGTATCCACCAGACCACCCAACCAACCAACCAACCAACCCACCGGAAGAAAACTGTCTAAGGCCTCTTCGTTCCGAAAGCGAGATGTTGGAACAACAGCTGAATCCGCTGAAACAGGGCGGGTCGTGTTCGTGTTCAACAGTTCTACTGTGGCTCCAAGAAACGATAGCAAATCCCTCAACCCATGGCACACTCCGAACCCACCCACAAAGGGGCCGCAAATGAAAGACGCAGTAGACGCACTCAGTAGCATGGAATTGGATGGCATGACTCCTGGGGAAGACTGTATTCTGCAGATATAAGTTTGGATGCTTCCACTTCGAACGTTTTTGAGTCTTGGCAGCAGGCCCTGACCCAGAAACCACAAATCTAGCAGCTCCTTCAATTTTCTTTGAAGATCATGGAACCACCAAACACCACCTCAACTGCTTTCTCTCCAAGAATAAGTAGGACCATACCAATACCCAACCGTCACGTCCTTCAAATCTTTGCCAACTCCCCCAAAGTCAAGAAAACTATTCAAGGTCTTTTATTAACCACCTGCATCAATTCCTTCGATCTTCTCCTCCCTTGTGACCAGGTGCCAGACATGAGGTGGAGCAACAAGCTGCTACTGCCAGAGCACAGGCGGAGGAGCACTTCCTTTCTCGCTGGCGTGGGTTTTGGTTGATTTTGATTGTTGGACAGCCACTTTCCTGAGTTCTTGGATCATGCTATCCCTTCCTCCCTCCCTTCCTCCCCGTCCCTCTATCTTGTCATCCATCCAAGACTAAAACTGTTCGTGGCACCCGATGTCACCTGTCAAGCAGAATTTGCTTCATCTCTCCAGTAATCAATCCACAAACATAATTTCACTGTTTGGCCACCAGAAGAGGCAGGTGGAACTATACAAGCAGGGGATGTTTTTTTTCTTGAAGTGGGAGAGAGTGGATGCTCTCAATACTCCCTTCCAGTCTACTCCCACTTGGCGTGGTGTTTGCCTTTTTCCAAACGGACATAAACGGGCATCACAATAGTGTGTTTTATCCAACTCACTCTTGGGAATTCAGCTTCTGATCCCGCGCTCATTGTGCACCAAAGACAAGCTACATCCGGATACCATTCCATTTTCCGCCCTGGATCCACCACATGACTCATCACATGAGCACCCAAGCGATCCGAGAGAGAGTTCGAAATCTGAGGGTTTGTGGGGTCGGAGAGGCACAGCAACCAGTGGTGATCCAAACAGCTATAGTGCGTAGCCCCCCGCCAGGAGCAGGCGCAGCTCGCGGAGCTCTGCCGTGAAGGCCGCCGGTTCGGCGGGTTCATCAGCATCGAGTCGCAAAGAGGTGGAGGTGGACGGTCCGTGGCTCCGAGTCGAAACGACTGGAAATGCCACCAATCAAGAGCCTACTTTGAACCGGATACCATTGACACTTGACCAAGCCAGAAAGCCTGGATGGAGCCCAGCCAGCTGCTTGTAGTTTTTTGTTTTAAGATCCAAATCCAAATGCCATACACTTCTTCACTCCAAATGTCCCACTAGTCGCCACCGTTCGACCCGCCGTGTCCGCGGCGCCACACCGCTCCACCGAGGCCAACGGCGCCTGGGGCGCGAGGTCTTCGCGAAGATGTCGGAGCTCAACGAGAAGCTCGGAGAGAAGATGCAGCTCTTGGAGGCCACCGAACCCGGGGCGGTGGAACACGACCCGGGGGGAAGTGAACCGGAAACCGGAACCGGGAGATGTGGATGTTCGATGTTCTTTCTAGATGATCCTGAATCAGTGTTCAGTACTGTTCAGTTCTTCAAATCTGCATGTTAGGATTCCGCATTCCTTGGACGTTGCTTGCGTCCTCGCGCAAGTCCTTGGTTTTGCCCCGACACGGCGTTCGGTCGATGACACAGGATGAGCTCACCGCGCGCTTGGCCGAAACCGTGAGGATGTTGCGTCAGGCTGGAACGTGGCGCTGGAGTGGTGGGTGGTGTGGAGTGCTGAAAAAGGGAGTTGTCTAGGACTGCTATTCGTGGACTGCTAAGCTTCTATTGTGCCTAGCTATTCGTGCCTATCCCACAAAAATTATACAGTATACATAGATGCCCAGGAATTTTTGAGACCTTGTTCTGATCAGAACAGACTTTGAAAAACTCAGAGTGTTCTAGAGTACCACTCTAAACCGCACTAGACTTTCAGACTTGTATTAATACCCTGCATAACAAGTTTGAACAAAATGGGTGCAATTTCCTGTGCTTTACCGCCAACGCCGACCCACCACTGTGCGCTAGTGTTTACCTTTCCGGCGATATCACGGACCCTTTTCCCACCTGATTAGTCCATTCCTAAAACTTGAGATTTTTCCATCATTATCCATCCATGGTGGTAATTCCATCCTGATTCGTCCAACTTAGTTCATTCCTGATTATCCATTAGTGATTTCTAGAGATTCTTTTTCACATCACTGGCGTCCTGTCTTATCAACCCCCCTGTCAAGCGGGATATTGTCGAAGGAAGTCAGGATCGGGGCACGGGAAAAGGGAACTCCGATGTCGATGCATCGGGAGAAACTCGAGGCGTCAAGGGAACATCTGGGTAGACCATGACTATCCATGACTGTTATTTGTTCTATTTTCTTCCTCCCATTGAGATGAACTGAACTCAAAACGTTTTCCTGGATCCATGTTGCATAAAAGTGCCGACACATCCCTGAAATCTTTTGATGAAACAAGAAGATTTCTCAGCTACTAGTAACAAGAACGCTACTAGGTGGAGGCGATCGCTATTAGGTTGGAGGCCATCGCTACGAACGGAACAAGAAACGTTCGAAGATGTTCTCAACCGTTTGAGCCGGCTCAACATCGCCCGGTCATCTTCGGGTTCAACATCGAACATGGAACGGACCGGCCACACCCTGGGCCACGCGTGTGTTCGTCTCCAGGTCACCAATTGAGACCTCTTCGGGCCCAATAAGCCCCCCATTTCGGAGACCTGTTGGAGGGTCGGGTCATGGTTGATCCCTTTGTTGAGTTTCCCGGAACATATTCCACTCAGAAACCTGACCAAACAAGACACCCCCTGGTTTTTATGATATTCAGTCAAAGTGAGATGCCTTCAGGTAGTTCCAACATGTTCCAATGTGGTTTCAGGAAACTGAAACTGCATGAAACCTAGGCCTGATTTGTACTTCACAGGGTTTTATATAAACAAATATATATATATATATACTTAAACACAGTAGACCGTCTAGACCCTTTATATAAATGACTGTTACAGTTCATGGGAAACGCACAGTTTCTACATCAGTGATGGAAAGTCAACCCGGTCTTCCCTCTCTTTGGCCTAACTGGGTCGGCCCAGGAGGCACAGAGTTGCCGCTGTGAGGAGGGGAGGGGACAAAGGTCAGGGTCAGCTGTTTGTAGTTCGGACCTCTCTGTTCGATCCATGATGCGGTCACTCAAATCAGGCGATTTGAGTGCAGGTGATTGCATTCTACTTGTATACAGACCCAGTTCTCGAAAATCAAGAGGAACCTAGTCATCCACTTCTATCTGGCGTTGTGAAGCAGTGAACTGTTCAGGCAAATCGCGTGCAGAAGTGGCGCGCCCGTTTTGGCAGGGGTGATGTCCGTTTTGGGGGGCCATCACAAGAATCTGGAAAACAATGAGAACGAGAGTGTAGGCCTTTTGTCTTGGCACATTGGAACACCTGGTGTTGCTTAAGGTGATTTTGTATTTTCTTTATAGACTATAGGTGAACTCCCTTTTTTCCCGAGATTCCTTAAGCAAGTCCAAGGAAAGCCGTTGCATTTGTGTGGCGTTTCATCCATTGTCGGTTCCCTGACAATAACAATTGGCCCATCAGAGCAACTCCCCAATAGCCTCAATCCGCAAACGAAACTGTGGAAGAACATGAGCGATCAAGACCTGAGTAAGTAAGACAGGCAAAGCTTATCAGACACAGTGCACAATTCCCTTAATGCGTGAGAGCCACTCTTGATCTGGTCTGATAGGTGTGCTTTTGATCCAATTCTGGAATGTTCCCTACAAACAGGTGGTATGAAGAGTTGTCGTGAATTCTGGTGCTGTGAAGGAAACTGAATTCGACCGTTTCAATTCAAAGGATTGATTTGGAAGGGGAGGGTATGAATATCTTCAGCCCGAAGGACGAGTTCCGCTCCCGAGGCGGATGTTGGAATCATATAAGCTAGCCTCCGAAAGCGGAAGGTTTGGCAACGTCATGGACTGGAGTATCCACCCACGTCACCATGAGTTTCTGACGAATACCCCCTGCGAGTTGCAGAAATTCTGTTCTCGTGAGTGTGTTGTGTTCTCGGGTCCGGCTTTTTCACTGTGGCTTGGATGATGCTGCTCATGTCTTGATTGATCCATATAATATATATATATATCCATATTGACCATATTGCCGGAAAGCAATTCCTGTGAGTGTGAGAGAAAAAAGATCCCGTTGCTAAGTTTGCAGGGGTAGTATCTTGGGGAAGGGCAGCGGTCCGACCTGTCCAGTTATTAGAGCGTTGTTTTGCCGTCAAAGGGAAGTGGACTATCGGATAGGACTGGACTGGATAGGACTGTAACAGGACCACAGATCCAGATGGACGACCCAAAACGACCTGAAACATGCCACACTTCCAATGCTCCGACTGGATCTGTGACACTAGGAGTTCCAACGGGAGTGCCTTGAGGCGCTGGACGCAGGCGCGGACGTGCCGGCACCGCGCGCGTTCGGAGGATGGAGGGGCTCGGGATGATGAAAAGAACCCGCCACTTGCGGGTCGGTTGCGAAAGGTATCTCCAAGCTTGGTCGGTTTTGAGTATGAGCTCGTTGTTCTCTCTTGCAGTTTCCATGATGGTCCATGATTCTATTCAAGGCCCCCACCGTCATGGGGACATGGGCCATGGCCGTGTTTGACATCGTTCAACCCATCGTCATGCAGACCATACCGATCCCTACAGACCGACCATACCGTGTGACGAGAGGAGCGAGACTTCTGGAGAGATCCTCGAATGGCGACATCTTTGTTTGGATTGTTGTTATCTTGTTCTGCGGTCGCCGGCTCCTCCCCCTCCTCCTCAACTACCTCCTCCCTCCCTCCCTCCCTCCCAAATTCAATGGTGGTTGTCTTTCTGTGCCATAAGACTTAAGACCCTGAGCAGTGGCGAACGAAAGTGGAACATCAGGTGTTCAATCAAGTTTGTTCGTCCTGCCAGCCGGGCGAGGAAACTCCTTTGAGCCGACCTTTGATTGGATATCTTTCGCCTGGGTCATGACTGGCAACTGTGACCCCTTTCACATGCGATCCCTTACCTCGTTTAAATCTCCTAGATACTCGTATAATTGCTTTTATATACTCTTTTACTCTTTGATGTACTTTTCTACTCTTTCTTTCTGTGTTTTGATTTTCTCTGTTTCGCGACACTTTTCATTGTGAAAGTTTTAAGCTTTAAACGCCAATGCACAAAGACTTACCAAAGATGACACTGGGGAAGAGCCATGGAGGCTCAAAAGGAGCAGGTGTTATTGGAGCAACACTTCTTCCCGGAGAAGTTGCTCCCGATCAGCCTGAACAAGAGGCTTTGGGTGTGGCCAGTGCGGTCTTTGCCACAGACCGCTACATGGCAAGGCCAATGGGCAGTGGCTGAGGTGTGGCTTTCCTTGAAAGAGCGAGAGGTTGTTCCTGGCCAGGAAGAAGCATCTGCATAGACTGTATTAAAAGCGTACAAGTAATTTCCAGTCTTTCCAGAGTGTGTTAGACTGGTTTCCTCTCGCAGATTACACCACTCGATCACAGGATGTTTGAATAATGTACAGTCTGGCTACAATGAGTGGAACGAGCCACGTGTGTGGCGTGTGTGGCGTGGACCCGCAACAAGTCGGGGTTAGCCAATGGCACGGACAGCTGACCCTTACTACACGGCGGTTGACCCCTGTGGGCATACAGCAGCTGATGCGCTTGGGAATTATGCCTTTCATGGTGGTGCATGGGAGACCAGTTGGTGTGATGAGACCTGTTTGGCGGCAATCATTCAGCAGCGAGAGCTATATTCCCTTTTTGTAACTCACGCTACGAGAACTCCGGGGCCTTCTTTGACTGCGCACTTCGTGCAGTGCTTGAATGATTTTGTGTCCAGCAGGTTTGTGTCTGTTGGTAACAGGTACAGGTTTGGTGCGGCAGACGTGTGGATCAAATAGAGTGCACAGCGTGTTCATCACACAGCGGCCCTTGCGTTCCATGGTGGAAAAGCTTGCCGGAGAAGATTGCCTGGCTCAAAAGATCTTGTTTGACGTTGGCTCGCAAGGCTCACAGGATGTTGCAGGAAAATCAGATTCCTTCACCACTTCAGCGCCTCCCCAAACCAGACCCGCTTCCCCGTCCACCCAACAGACAAAGATGGTTGGAATGGATTTGCGGCCGTGTCTGTCAATTGTTCTTCAGGGTTCTCAGAAATTTCGCAAGTGCTGCACCTTGTCTCTGTTTTCTCAGAAAGCACTTGTGTTAGAAAGTCCTTGCTCTTTGATCCCCGCTTTGCTTTCGTCTTTCGAAACGGTTTCATCAAGCACACAGAAGTTCAGATGCTCCTGATGCCGTTTTCAGCTTCCATGTTTCGGCGGGGAGCGCAAGTGCAAGCATTATTATGTTGTTGGGCACGGGGAAGCAAGAATGTTGTTGGGGCACGGGGAAGCAAAAACAAACCATGATGTCAGGGTACGGGGAAACCAAGAAATCAATCCCTTCAATCTGCGAGAATGTTCCAGCAAGGCTGATGTTTTTTTGCGCAAAATTTTGAGCATGAGCGCAAGCTCCCTTCCAATGAGCCGGATTCGTTGGATTCTTCAACGCTTTCGGAACACGACTCCGAGGAGGATGTGAATTGTTTCCCTGATGTAGCGTCCAGCGGGGATGACGGGTGTGACCGCTTTAGTGATTTAGCCACGGCTAAATGATCACACATATCGAGGCCACAGGGTTTATTTTTGGACTTTACCATTTTCTGTCCAACCCAATTGTGTGACTGCAGAGAACAGCGCCAAAAAGGAAATCGCGCGGAAGTTCAAAGCTGTTTACGGTGATTCAATTTCTTTCTACGCAGTTTTCAATTAGTACCACCCGGGCAGCTATATATGCATGAAACTGAAGAGACGAGTGAAGTGGGTGAATCTTGCTCGAGAACTTCGAGCCCATGGCATGTTTACGTACCTGAGCATCCCAAAGCTTTTCTTGGACTTTTGGCGTTGCCTAGCTTTTTGTTATGTGCCCAGTGCGAGGAAGCCTTTAGCAGAGCTTGATCCTGACCCTCTTTTGTCTTCGGAGTTTCCAATTGCAGAGCTTGAAATGTTGAAAAAGAACCCGCACACTCAGACTTTGGATGATTGCATCGCCTTCGCTCAAGAACAGCAAAGCAAAGGTCTGGGCCAATTCATGCAGTTTATGGCCCGTCAAGGTCCGAAAATGGGTCCGCAGTTTGTTTCATGGAGACGGCTCATTGTTGGGCGAAACACTCAGAAGTCTCTGCGGGACGCAGGACTTGCAATTTGGTCTCAAGCTGCGCAGTCAGATTGCGTGTGCCCGTCTGTGAAAAATTGTAGCAAGGTCTTGACAACTTGGTGGCCTTTCATGAGAAGGACGGTGAAAGGTTTGCTTTCCTTTTGAAGCGCATGATCAGATTGGCCACAGCCAGCGGGCGTAAGCGCAAACATTGTTTGTCAAGACCACTCATCACCATATACAATCATCGGTGCTTCTTGCGGCCAAACCGTGGCGACACCTTTTGTCTCCAGGGTCTTGAAAGGTGTCTGGCGGCGTGCTGGCAGGATTATAGACACGCTTTGTGCCCAATACCTTGGCATACACTTTTGTTGCTTTTGGAAGGTGAATCGGTTGTGGCTGCTGTGAAAGGATCCTCTTCGGTGGTTGTCGAGACGGCCCCCCAATCACATGTCAAGAGAAGGTAATGCCTGTGTCAGCGAAAGGGAAGCCAGATGTCGCTGAACATGATGCTTTCCACAACCGGTTTTGTTTGAAGTTGCACTTTAAAAAGCCGTTCCCAAAGGCTTTGCAGGAAGCTCAAATAAAATTGGCGTGCAGTTGTGGATCTTGCTATGCTCGTTGGGTAGATCGCAATGCTGCAGCATATGCTGCCAGAGAGCCAGACCTTGAAGCCGAGACTTTGGCCATGGAACATGGGATTTTTGGAAGAAGTGAAGGTGTGGCCAACACGCCGGCCAGCAATGCGGAGCCAGAGAATGAGGTTGCGGCTGTTCAGCCCTGTAGTGAGGCACAGAATTCCAGCAGTGCCACAGAGGTATCCGGTCAATCTTCAGATCAGACAGGTTCTTCTTCGCAGGCGCAGTCTCACCCACACAGTCTTTCCCCCGAAGAGATTAGAGCTTTGAAAGCTGAAAGTGCATTTGTTTCCCATCAAACGGCAAGTTATGCAAAGTCTTCTTTGGGGCCGCTGCCCTTTCCACCAAGTTCCTCTTTCGCCGCGGCCAGCTCTTTGAAATATGAAGATGCAATGACGCCGACGAAGCGTCTGACCAAGCGGTCACATGCTTCGGAAAGCACTCCTCCTTGTGTCGAGCCATTCACCCCTGAGGGCGCTCCTCCTTGCGTTACGGAGTCACGTGCAAAACCAAAGGCCAAACCAAAGGCGAAAGCTGCAGCAAGGGACTGGTGGAAATGCTGGGTGAGTGGCCACCGTTTCTAGATTTGATTTTGCACCAATTGGCTGTTGACCTTTAAGAGGTTCTGCTTGCCCTGGGCATACAGCCGCTGATGCGCTTGACAATCCTGTTGCGGCCGGTCTTGAGAGGAAAAAAACTTACGACGGGCCCAGAAATCATCAGTTAATTTTAGGGTGCCATGAGCAGACATGTGGAAGTGCACCGCCAGTAGTATTATACAGATGTATAACATGTTGTTTTTCTGTTCAAACAATCATCCTCTCTGGTCAAATAGGACTAGGTCACCTCCGGCCCCTTTCACAAAGACCTATCACTTTTGGTTGACTCTTACTCTTGGGTTAGACTTATTTATTCATTAACCCCGCTTGCTAAGGCCATATCCTGGCCGATATACTTTCTGACCTTACGGAGGAGACAAGATTTGTGGGTTCGCCGGCCAAGCCATGCAACAGCAAGTTGAGCTGGAGCAAGTGCAGATGCGGCGGGCGCGACCAAGGTTTCGGGCAGTAGTGCGAGCATGGCTCCGCCACCTACTCCTTCTAAGAAGGAATTCGTGGTGGTGACGCCAAAGAAGGAAAAGGAAGAAAACAAAAAAAAACAAGAAGGATACCAAGGCAGCTGACAGAAAATCAGTGATCAAGAAGTAAAAGAAAGTGCAGTGAACATCAGTGCGCGAATCTTCGAACAGACTAGAGTGCAGTGCAGTACACGCGGTGGTGTGAAAATGGGTTTTAGGTTTCTTTCCGCTGACTGATCGTCATGTTGATTACAGTAATAGGTTCCTCAATTGTGTGAAACTTCGACTTCAACCGCAAATGCGACCCCAAAGCATGCCCCTTACAAGGTCAAAAAACTGGCTAAAGAGGTTAGGGGGTCACAAATGCGGAGTTTAAGTGCACTCCCTGACTGGGTGGAAGACCTGCATAACGCATAAGTGATTTGTGCATTTTTGCATTTGCTGTGGCCACTAGTCTCAGTTTGAACTCACTCACGTCCCACTCACTCACTACCTCCCTCCCTCCCTCCCTCCTCCCCCTCCTCCCTCCTCCCTCTTGCCTTCACAAGATGCACCATTACTAGACAGGTTGTGCTACACATGTCCCTTTGTACAGTTATTCCTTTTGTTCATCTATTAAATTATGTTTTTTAATCTACCATTTTTGGTCTGCAGACCGTTTTAACATGTGGGGGTATGCGGTCCCGTAATTGTGATGCGGGGCGGATCAGAATGACCAAAAAACAAATTCAACAGTGCCTTAAGTGGATCTGAGTTGCCACTCCGCAAAAAAAACAGATTTTCCTAGGTTCGCAGTTTCATCGGTTTGTCTCGCTTGTAATTAAGTTACTGGTTGCCTACTGACCTGGTATGTTTGCCTGCCTTCAATGCTGACCAACCTGGTGAGGTCGAGATGTCGCAGAGCGGAGCGCTCAAGACTGCGTCAAGGTGCGAGTGGAGGGTGCGACGGGAACCAGGACCCTGGCCAAGCTGGCCATTGGCACCCTGGTACAGGTGGTTTCTGGGCACCCAATTTGGACCTTTTTTTTTGCGTCCCAAGAAGGCGTTGGCTGGTTTTGGAGGACTTGCAGTGACATTGGCAGAAACCATCGGAGGGGGTGGCAAAACCCATTGGCAAAGATATCTCGTCCGTAACATGCCCGGTGACGTATGAGACAAAAACCTAGTCCTTTTTGCGGGGAACCTTTGTTGAACCGGTTCGCAGACCGTCGTTTGCCGGCTCTGCAGGTTGGTGAATGCCGTTGAGCAGAAAATTTTGTGGATTTGTTTTTCTCATATCCTATGTGGTCCAATTTCTTGGCGGTCGAAGAACACTTGGTCAATTTTAAAAGATCATGTTGGGTTTGTCCTATTTCCTGCAACCATGGGTAAACACATATCATTGGAGAAGGGCCTGCAACTGAACCATCATCCACTGGGCCCTGATAATGGGATATACCCAACGGGTCATGTTGGATCTTCAAGAGTGATATACTGCACAGATCCCCATCAGTACACTAAATCCCCCACTTGACGATTTGGGAGTTGAATCATTGGATCATTTCAACCTACCCAGACACTCCATGTATGCCATATATGCTTACATTGGGGTGGTTGAAATGGGGTCGGCAGCACATATGCCATGCGTGGAGTGTTTGGGCTACACGGAATGGGCCGAGTCACATGGGCGCTGACAGAAATGCGTCTCGATCATTCCTTCGGCGCCTTTTTGGGCGAAGTCGAAGAGGTTGAACAGTCGGAAGGATGGGTCCTTTGTTCCCATCCAACGGTCGACGTCTGTCCTTTCAACGCCACTGCGTCTAGTATAGGTCGAAGAATTTGTTCGATGATAGACATTCAATGGATCAACTAGGATTCAAACATATTCCAATGGTCAAAAAGGAGCACATGTTGGTTCAATGACAATGAAAACTTTTTGAAGTGGATGGTTCCAACACCCACTCTAGACACCCAGTTTGGACGGTGCCACGTTGGGAACGAAGTCGAGCTCCGAAAGACTTGGGAACTGAGAAAAAGACGAAGAAAACCTGCTGGGTGATGTGGAACATATTTAGTTTGTCTTAATTATGATCCTTCTGTACATACCATTTCCAGTGGATCCCACCCTAGCACGATATAAACCAGTGGCCCTTGAAGATCCTTGAAGTATCTAAGCTATCCATTCTCAGCCTTACCATGAACTAGCTTCAAACCGGTGACCTCCACCACCCGCGCCTGACTGACCGTCGTCAATGGCGCCTATCGCTCGTGACGCCCCGGCAAAGACGACCCAGGCCCTGGAGGAACACATGGCCCGGGGTCGGAAAGAGGTGGGGACCAGACAGGACGGGACAGGGCTGACAGCAGGGAGGGAGGGCCGGGGGCCCGCTGTTTCAAAGCCTGCCGGCCGGCCTAGAGTAGCGTGATGACGACTTGAAGTCCTTAAGGTGTATGATGGTTTATGTTAACTTCACTTCTCAGTGTTGTTTTGATCGGGCTCATGGTTGAAGGACTGCCTAGCACAGTTGAGATTGGGTAACCGCCTTTTGGATCATCCAATGTAAGTTGATTGTTCTTGGACTGGCGGGGTGCCAGAGCACTAAAGTTGCATAAGCGTAAGATCAACTTGTTACCATCCCATAGCCTCATGTCCGATAAGATTCTAATTCCAGATCCCAGATCTGTATCTGTTCTTAATGCACTTGCCTGGTCAGCCTGATGAAAAATCAATGTGCTATGATACACAGCTATCCACGGCTCAGAACTTCAGAAGCCGCCCATGCTACTCGAATTTCTGATCATGTTGATGATCCTGAATGCTGTGGCTACCGTGAGCCTGGTATGCTACATGATGAGCAACCGGGGAGGCCATAGGTCGCCGCGTTCACGCTCACGTTCGAGAAGCCAGTCGCCCCGTGATCGATCTCCACGAGATCGCAGGGAATTGAGGCGGAGGGTGGCAGGAGCACAATCAGCCTCAGCTGGGACAGAGTCTTCGGAACCATCAGTTCATCAGTTCCTTTGAAGCCACAGCCAAAGACACCCATTTGGTGCTCCAAAGCCACCAGCGAAAGCTGGTTTCAGTGGAGCCAAAGCGATCAGGTGCTGAAGATTCGCGAGCTCAAGGCACTTCTGGACCTGCTGCAGTGGCCCCTCCACGGCGGAAGGATCCAGAAGGTGTCCGCTTGTTCAGGTCATGCGCGAATGAAGAGCCGGCGGCGGTCAATCCCCTATAATTTAGCAATATTGTAAGAATGATTAATACCAATTAATAAGAATATAATTCATATATAGTTGCTACATGTTACTACAAAACAATTGATGTGACACCATTCGGGTATTGGGGTGTTTTTTGCTTGTGTTTTTGAATCTTATCAACTGTACCTACATGATCCACTGACACGGTGGGTGATTTGACCCCTATAGTGCAACCTCCATTCCGACGAAGCCAGGCTAGCAAGACGTGCCACTCTGTCGAGTGCATGAGGCGCTCTTCGGATCCCTTTGTGCGTTCCTGGCGTTGGGCGGTTTGGCGATTCAAGGAGGGTTTGGGGTTCAGACTCACCTTTGGAGGAAATCCTGGGACATGGAAAGGGATGAAAAGGGTTTGAAGAGGTCCACGCTGTTCATGTGGTTTTCCATGTGAATTACCAGGAGTCAAACCCCCCCAAACGACTGATTCTCACCTCTACAGGCTAGTACCTGTGCAGTTTCGCATGAGGATCATTGATTCCTCGCCAAGCCAAGTGAGACATACAAAACAGGTAAGAAAGTAATCTTTGCATGTCCGTTTTGGCCAGAAGCATGCTCAATCCACAGTAGAACGATAAGAAACAAACACGATAACCCTGCATAAGGATGGAGAGGAGGAGGGATGTTTACACAAGGGTTCTGTTTGTTGAGTATGGACTCCAAACACTCTTTGTCGGGTTTGCACCATAGAAACAATCACGCAGCGAGCCATGGAATGAACTGGAATGAATGGTGCTTAAGACTTCATGTTTGCACCACATGCATGCAGTGCAGTGTGTATTACAAAGCACTGAAGAAAAAACAAGATGGAGCCCACGAACCCAAACGCAAACACGTTCGAAAAGCTACATATGTCCAAATGACACTCTTGTAGGACACTCTTGTGGGACCCTCTTCTGGGACGCTCTTGTGGGTCACTCTTACACGACACTCTTGTAGGACACTCCTTGTGTGACACTCTTGTGGGTCACTCTTCTGGGACACTCTTGTCGGACATTCTTGTGGGACACTCTTGTGAGACACTCTTGCACGACACTCTTGTGCGGCACTCTTGTGGGTCACTCTTATGGGACACTCTTGTCGGACATTCTTGTGGGACACTCTTGTAGGAAACACTTGTGGGTCACTCTTATGGGACACTCTTGTCGGACATTCTTGCGGGGCACTCTTGTGAGACACTCTTGCAGGACACTCTTGTGGGACACTCTTGTGGGACACTCTTGCGGGGCACTCTTGTACGGCACTCTTGTAGGACACTCTTGTGAGACACTCTTGCAGGACACTCTTGTGGGGCACTCTT